GATTAATACAAAATTTGTAATGTAACTAGTCATCACTTAGTCGAACCCCACAAAATTACAAATAAACTTTGAAATGCAGATTCAGACATATTTCAAAGATCAAAATAGCTGAATACGAGTGTAATTCTGGAACACTAATCCTATTGGCATTAATGTGAAAATTTCTATACTATCTGACATTGTTCCAAGACAAATGTTGCAAATTTGATTTATCTTTAACCATCCTTACAATATAGAATATATAAAAATAGAAAAATGCCTTTAGTTAAAAGTCTAAGGTAGTAATTCAAATTAAGAATGCCGAGTGTGTTCTCTGGCATCAGGGCACAAAGTACAAATTTTGATGCCACAATATTTATGTTCAATATATCAATCAAGGGCCCACTCGCCCATGTTAAAATGGCTCTAAAAATCTGCCATCAGGGGCTACATGGTCAAATTATGAAAGGCATCTTTTTTTTTTTACCATAAATGTTGAAATTTCAAGGTAATACGCAGTTCTTTTCTAAATACTGCACAAAACCAGTGATAACCATAAGATGTCCTCTTACTGCATGTATACAGTATAATAACCAGAAGACCAGAATAATGACCAAGCTTTCCTTTTATTTTCAATATCAAATTCATATTAAATTAATCTTGAAATGTCTATGAATGTAGAACCATAAACTAATTCCAAAGATAAAAGTTCCAGTTGAATAACTTTTTACATGAACATAGGTACAGCATGTTATTAAACAATCACAGTACTGTACTGATCTTTTCCCCAAATGTTGATAGTGACTGTGCTTGATGAGCATAACACAAAGTGCTTCCAAAAGCAATAAATAAATCACTTCATTCTGCAGTCACAATTTCAAATTATATTCAATACTTTGTCTAAATAATATTCAGTAAACAAATAACTTATCAACAATGAGAAGAAACACTTTCTAAATAAAAAACCTGGAACAAATGATGACCAAAGGCATCGCATGGGTTGAAAGCATCCTTTGAAAATGTGAGAACCACAGCCTCCAGGCTTCAGTTCCCAAAGAATTTTGTATAGTCCTAAATTCTTCATAAAATTAACTTCAAATAATTGTACAACAAAATCTGTCTAAGCCAATAATCTTTAGAACATACAAACACTAACATTTTGTATCAGAAGGCTTATTAAATAAATTTTCATAAATTTCATAAAGCAATACTGTATGAGAATTGAAATGCTCATTTTTGATCAACCCAGTGTTTGCTTCCTAGCCAACAGTCAGGGTCCACTGAGCAGACTACTAAGATGGGTCTACTGTGAAAAGGAACTTTTCAAATGTCTAGATACATGACTGAGGAGGAAGTGAGGGCAAGAGTACTCTCAATTCACCAACGAGAGAGATCGCTCACTATAACAACAGAGCAGATCAAATTTTTAACACCTCTAAGCATTAATTGGGATCACAAGAAGCGTCAATTATTGTGCTTAACTACTATACTGAGTAAATAAGGCATCACCTGGCTACCGCCAGATGGCAGTCAGGTCTCGGCGACATATAATACAGTATAAAATTACATGGCAAACATTCCACCCAGACCTTGCGGGAATTGTTCCTCCGTACAGTTAATAAATGGCCGGAAGCAAATGACACAAACCTAACAAGGCTGAACCTGTACATGTAACTCAGGAAAGTACAAGCAAGGAAAAGTGGAAGTCACTATGGAAATAAATAAAATGTACACTCACCCACCACCCGACCAGTATCTCATAAATAAGAAAGGTTCATATTTAGAAACCAAGAATGAATATTCTCGCCCGAGAATTTTTTCTTCAAGGATACTGTATAATCTTCAATCACACCTACAGGTTTGGCTTATAGACAAAGTCCCAAACACTTCCCAGAAGCATCTCCAGAGAAGCCCCAGAAAGGAGGATACTCAATTCTCCCAGAGAATACAACTCTGGTGAAAAGCAAGAAACACTAGCCAACAGCAGAAAAGATAAACCTGAAATGAAATCAGTGGCAAATTATATATTAGCTAAGGATATGCAGGATGGGAAGCACAAATCCAATCACAAAGGGCAATGAAAAAAATAAATATTAAGCAAATCCCCAGCGGGATATACATATTAGAAGGAATGCTAACCCCACTTAGCTATACAAAATACTGGAGGTTTTTGCAGTGACAAGAATTAGCAGTGTAGAACTAGGCACACTAGTGAGCTGGGTGGGCAGGTGGAACTCATAGGTGACCCTAGCTGCCATCTAGTGACATGCTGGGATACTACAACAGTACAGTATTGTACTTGGTTAGTTGACACCAGGCAAACTAGACCATCCCATATTTTTATTTTTATTTCTTTCTTTTTGCAAGATACATAAAGTTCTATTTCACCTGTACTTTCTGGACAATTTTATAGTTATGGTTGATCTTGAATCGCTATGCTCCACTCACCTCTGTAGACACCTGATTCAAGTTCTGGTATTCAAAAGGCTTGCACGAGTCCAATAGTTTTTTAGTGTCAGAGCCAATGGACTAGGGAGTTACTGAAGCCCAGTACAGAAACAATGTAAAATGTACCCTTTCATGAAACATCTGGTTAGAAAGTATTGCTTTGGAAGACAAATCAGTAGAGATCCTTGATGGATCGTACAGTGCAATCTTGATTAGATGAACTATATGTGACCAACACCAATTCATTGCATCTGAAGATTCACTGCAATTAAAGATGCCTTCATGAGGTATTTGAATATCTTATTAAAAAATATATATATATTGTATGCTTGTTTCTCCTAGTGTTGTGTCCATCCATCTTTCAGCCCGAAACGCTGCACGTACTAGTGACTTTACAAGAATGTTAACACCATGTTATGTATCCTCACAAACCCAGTGTACCTTCTTGTATGTATATATATAAATAAATAAATAAATTAAATAAATCAACAAAAATCATTAAAAACATGATAAGTGATCTTAAATGCGTTACCATTCATACCATAATATTTCCCATGTTCTCTGGGTTAATTCTGCCAAATAAAATTTTAATTTCAATCTATAATAATAATAATTCATTCTGTTGAGGGACAGGCAGCCAGAATTTATTTTTTCCATGTTAGGTTATATCAAGCCAACCTCCCCCCCAGGTCAAATTACTGACCTTGCCCAGGATGCAACCCCACAATAAGCTGACTACCTCCTGAGTATCTACTTACTGCTAGGTGAACAGAGGCATTAGGTGACCGGAAATGCACCCAACCATTTCTATCCCTCTTGGGATTTGAACTCAGAATTCTGGATTGAGAGTCGAGAATAAACCCGACTGTACTACTGGGATCCATTATGATGGTCAACTGCCAGGAGAACCTGTCCATAAAGAGATTCCACAGCATGTAGTTTACTTCCCATGCCCCAGCCTCAAAACCACCTTTACAAAAGGTACCAGGGACCATAACTAAGTGAACGAAAACTATGCCAGCTCAAAACTAAAATGAACCATAGGATCTGTTTTTAAATATGCTCAATGGCTTTCTAAAGGTTCCAACTCTCTTTCCCTACTATTGCATCCATCTATGAAAATCACTAAATTGGAGTGGAGCCATATTAAGAGTTACCATTCATACCCTAATATTTTTCAAGCTCGATGGCTTAAATTCACCTAGCGAAATCTTAATTTCAAGTGAAAATATGATGAACAATGACCAGGAGGTCCTGACTGTAAGGAGATTTCACCCTTATTGCCAGTACAGTATTTCTCAGGAACCAGCCTTTTGAATCTTATGTTATAAAGATAGGGCCATGATCCTAAAATGGTGTAAATGAACCGGGCCCACAAACTTTCTCACAAGTCCGAACTACTCTGGCCCTACAATTTAAGCAAAACTGAACATCACCCACTTTGCCAAACACTTGTTCACCAAAGACGGTGAGTAAATCCAGCAAAGAAAGTGTTGCAACCGGAGATTCATTGAGTTGAAGTTGCACTGTATGAGAGGTACAGAATGATCCAGCTCAAGAATAAAGCGATGCTGAAGTAAGTAATTATCAAAAGAAGGCACCAAACCGGGAAGGCTATGTAAGCGATGCTGAAGCAGCTGATAATGTAATTCTGGGGGCCTTTGGTCTTCGAATAATCAACAGGACGATAACCCTGAAATGAAGCTGAAGCTTCAAGTACTGTATGCACCCAGTTATCTGAATTTTGCTAAATAGAACAATTTGGAACATTGGATTTTTGGCTGGAACATTCCAGCCAAAATTGCATCCAGATAACTTTCTGGCAAACTTCACCAGAAAAGATAGAAGTAAAAAAAAAACGGAGATTTGACCTGATAGGGCAGACTGGCACAGAGTAAGTCAAGTCCGGATAATTTTCTGGCAAAACTTCGCTATATGCGGATAACTGGAGGTTACGTTACATAAATTTTCAAGAACTACAGTATCAAACACGAAGACAAACTACAACAAGGTAAGCTGAAGTTTCTCTTTTAAATTAAATGGAAGCATTCCTTATTTACTGCTAATCACGTGGATGTGAAGTTGAGAAATTTGTTCCGCTCTTTGGTATCAAAGTGAACAGTCTTTGTAGTGGATTAAAAGTGCTCTCTCCTGTCTCCAAATACGTGATAAAACTTTGTCAAGTTCCTCATCGTGGAGGGAAGAAGGTCAATGAGAGTGGTCCAGTGTCCAAGAACTGTCCTTGATGTCTAAGAACTGTTACCTGGCTGCTAGTTTGTGAAGCATGTGAGGTAGTCATGCTCAGAAATAAAGTATTACATAGTACCTGACAAAACTTTGAGTTTTACCAAGGAAATTGTTATGAAAATGGGACTTTAAAATGGCTATATAAGGAACTTTGTGCATTCAATTTTAATATAAGTAGTGGGCTCATAGTGGAACTGACAAGTCATTTTCCATTTACAGTATATTAAAAAAAATGAAACTTCAAGTCATTACTTTCAATAAGTTTTAGAAATGATTTAGAACATGTCTTTTAGCCATGTTATTTACATACAAAATGAAAAGATCAATTCCTTGGAATTAATATTTATTAATAATGACTAAATATATTTTCTATTTTCACAACTGATAAAATTAAAAAAAAAAATGGGCTTTTACATATTTCTATAATAACTTTCCTATGTTTCAAGCAATTTACTGTTGGCTATCCTAGTGAGATACAGTAAAACAAATTTCTTTATTTGGTTTATGATGTTACTAAAAATGTCAGTATGGCACTTTATATTCAACAAATGCAAAGTAGCTTTGACCCATGGCATGATGATGTGTTTGAATGATAACAGTTGAGTCCTTGATGGCTCATTATATCACAACTAATAAGCAACAATATACACTGTATATGCTCAAGTTTGAATATGCTTTATGAACTTACAGTAATGGGGAAGTTCACATCACACCTCGGTAGAACTTTATCTTGGGTTCGAGTATACACCCGTTTTACCATTAATTGAACATTCTGCACGATATATAATAGCCTTACATAATGTGATGCAGTATAACAAACCTACTATATTAAACTATGCAACAGAGCTGAAGTCATCATCAAAGCCCTTAAAAAGCTTTTAAATGCCCTTGGTATTACAGTACTAAGTAACAGTAAAGCTATCCATTTTTATATATTAAAATATTGCACCAGTTAAATTTAGGAGTCGTCAAAGTACATACGACCAGGGCCATTAGCTTTCATGTAGCGACGATATGACTTGTAGCGGCCAGACTGCGCCATCTTCATTTTCATTTCAGCATCACGCTCAGCCTTCCATGCATCGTAATTGTCCTTAATCCATAGCTCTTGCTTCATATAGTCTGCCTTTACATTTTCTTCCAAGTTCTGCAATTTTTTTTTTTTTTTGTAAATAAGGAAGGTATGGTATAAAATGTTTAACAATACGTTATACCAACTTTTACCAATACAGGTACAGTACTAAAGTAATTATGAAAAGATGGAACAATTTTACCGATTTCATAATCTAAACATAACATCGCAACCAGCCTATATACAGTACTGTATTATTAATTGTCATTTCTTGAGTATAGATGTCAAGAAGATATACTAGAAACCTATACAAAAATACATAATCAAATTACAGCACTTATCAGAGGATAATTTTTCACAGTTCTCTATTACATAAAACTACAGAAACTTACTTCAAATTGTCCATGACTAAGACTCATGAACTTGCGAATTAAATACATCTTCTCCTCTTCACCATACTCCTCCTTTAGAATCCAGAATTTCCACACCCACCGTAGGTACCAAGATATATACTGGAGTATCCAGTAGGGAAGGAACACAAGCTGTATCCACAGGATATCCCTATGAAGAAGATTTGTCTCATTAGTGGAACAAATTAAATTTAACGCAGTGAATACGACAAATGCATCCACGCCTTTTCCCGAGTGTGAGATACAGAAAGAGGAAGAGAGAAGGTGGGGGGGGGGGGAAAGAAAGGCAGGGAGGACAAATTTGAAAAGAGGAAGGGAATATAGAGAACACAGTATCTCACTTATAAGCCATAGGTTAACCACAAATAATCAATTCATCTATAAACATACTTGTACGTAGGTTTGGCATAGACACCACGAATATCCATCTTCCGCTCAATAACTTGACGAATTATTTTTTCCTCCTGCTCTTTGATCTGCTCTTTTGACATTCCTTTCAATTTCTTCTTGTCAGTCACAAGCAGTCCCTCCTGCTTGGCCAACTCCACTGCCTGTAGTCGGTATTTTGGTACAATCGCAAAATATTTTATGGCTTCTTGGTATCTGTAAACAATTTAAATTATGAACAATTTATCAAAAGCATTAACAGCCATACCATTTTATACTACCTTACTAAGCAGAATGTTTTGTATAATTTCATGGCTATTTAGGCTGTTGCCATAATTTGAAATACAGAAGTAAATGTGCTCTTCAAATGACAACATTTTAACTAATTCACTATCTAACAATTTAAGGTAATGTGGTTTAAAGTGCTATCTTAACTTCTGAGTAAATTTATAAAGCCAAATTTAAACATCCAAATGATCTGTATTTGTTTTCAGTAGCAGTGTTCTAAACCAGACACTATCCGTGAAAGAAATGCATTACTATAGAAAAATAATACTGTGGTATATTGACTTATTCTATGTTATAGAAATGGAATTGCCTTATGAAAGTAAAGGATTTTTATAGGCTAAAATTTCCATCAAGTTATATAATTTATCGCAGAATAAAGAGGTAATCGGGAATTTTGCGGGTTTTCTTAAGCCAAACTTCATGGCTTTACAACCCACCTGCCATAATCAAGGACAAGATAACACTAAATACTGGAGCAAGTACTGTATATTAATACTTACTTTGTCCACCCATTATAATACTGTACTAATGATATTAGAGAAATGGTGGCTGCCAATACAATTCTGACATCGACATGGGGAGCCATACGTCTTCGCCACGCTCTGTATACATTCTGATAGAACTGTTCAGGGTGATCCAACATGTAGTCATAATCTTCTCTGGCTTCATCATCTCGCAGGATATCATACCTGCCAAATAAAAATGAACAATACTTGATGAAAAAAGGAAGTGGTGATACAATACAATTCAATACTGTGTCTGTATTAGTAAAGTATATCTGAGTGCAACTATTATCAAAATTGTCACCTTGACTGGACTGTGCACCAAATTCTTATTTTACCTTTTTTATCAAATGCTAGAGCTGTATTCAAAAGTAATTTTGGCCTTGATAATGGTCAACATGCCTTCTGGCCTTCATCAACATTTCATTGTGATGGAAGCCAGGACTAAAAAAATATTTAATTTATTTTTTATAGAATATGTATTCAAAAGTAAGGAGTTTGTATGCAAAAGTAAAAATATAAACAGTACAGTACTTTACTGTACTGTACTGTACATATATATAGTGAAGATCTTTATTTAGGCCAGGTAAGTGTAGTCAGATATTGATTGGGATTAGAAGCCGAGGTCTGACTACAAATTAGTGACCTCCCTTGACTGCTGGGAGACCACTCCGCTATTGAAATAATGATGCAAGATGTAGATCTTTATTTGACGATAGCCACAATTTCAGAGTAAAAATTTATTATGTAAGAATCAAAAACCTAGCTACAGGTAATGACAATACAATATCCTCAAAAAAACTGGATCGCTACAGGTTGCAGACAGTGTGGATATGAAAGAATGCCATTAACCATGGGCATAAAGGCTCTTAGGGCCAATTCAGGGGTGACTGCAAATGTTTACCAGACATCATGACATACAGTAGTACAGTATAATTGCATTTTTGCTATCACTGGTTTATCAAGACCAGTCAGTGCTAGAAAAATTAAACAAATGGTCCACATTTTTCATGCATAATCATAATTTATATGCATACAAAATCATTTTTCATATATTAACTAGGTCTGAAAATGTTATAACTTCTATATACTGTATTGTATATAAAGGTTTTAAGAAAAAAAAAAGGAAGATTTGGTGAAAAGTAACAAAGAAGGCTAATTAACATACAGTATTTGTAAATCCATAACGATATGATTTGGATTTTAAAGGTTGCAATGTACATGCATATTTGCAAATTTTATATACAATTCAGATAACTGTACTGTATATACCTTGAAACAAAATACCCATAACAATTATACACTGTATAATATACAAAGATAGGTTAAATTAAGACCATAAAAACTAAACCTCTTCTAAAGTCTGCAAAATACTAATAACTGTAGCAACATCTCTGCTTACCTTTAACAGAAAATTACAACCATTTATACAGAGGTGAGATTACTGTTTACATCTAAATCCTGGCATTGTTATAGTGCATGTTGCAAATCAAGATTTGTCAACTTAAAGACCAATTCATCATCGTACCTGTGATTTACTACTTTAACTTTACTTTCCTCCTAGTTTTGAAGCAAAACAAATCTATACTGTACTAAACAAATGCATTGTACATTTGTTTAAAACAGTAAAAATATATAAAGCATAAAATACTCACGCCGTTGACAAAATTCTAAATCTTTCTTCCGCAATTTTCTTTTCCTCTGGATCCTGAAACTTGTCAGGGTGGGTTTTTGATGCAACAGCTCGGAAGGCCCGCTTAACCTCTTGTTTTGTTGCATCGCGAGTGATCTCGAGTACTAAGAATAAAAAAAATGTTAAGTAAGATCATCATATACAGTATTTTTAGTCTTGATAAAATGAATTATCACTAAATTTAAATACTGTACAGCAATGCATCTATTATGAGTGCTGATGGGCCAAATGTATCCCACAAATCAATAGATTTTAGTACCTACTTAAATCTTATCCATCCTAACAGTACAGTTTTGACAATTAGAAAATAAACTTTGTCAAAACTCCCTTGCACAATTTAACAGTACACTTTCGTAATTACCCTAGTCATACTTGAAGGCGTTTACTCATTTCGAGTGACCATATTTATAAAGTACAATTTACAGGCCTAGTTTTTTTTTCCATTTTCAATACATTTCATTTTCATAATATAGTTAGGCATAGAGCAAAGACCACAGGGGGAGCGAATCACTATAGTTTATTGATAGATGCAGGTTAATTCATACTTTTCTTTTTTAACGAGTTTCTGTACTATACTTTCTCATAAGATAATGTACACGTATTCTTATTTTAAAACCTAACCTAACCCATAATTGACATTTATTATATTTACCCGAGTGAATGAATGACTTATTACAGAGTACAGTATTGGAATATTTTTTATTTATATATTCAAGAGTTCTTACATTCTTGTACAGCCACTAGCACGCATAGCGTTTCAGACAAGTCCTTAATCCTAAATTTTCGCACACACATCCCCTAGGAAGCAGCCCGTAGCAGCTGTCTAACTCCCAGGTACCTATTTACTGCTAGGTGAACAGGAGCATCAGAGTGAAAAACTCTGCCCATTTGTTGCTGCCGCCACCGGGGATCGAACCCGTACCCTTAGGACTACGAACCCCGGCTGTCCACTCAGCCGTCAAGTCCCCATGTATGTATATGTAGGGGCCTCGTAGCCTGGTGGATAGAACGCAGGACTCGTAATTCTGTGTCGCGGGTTCGATTCCCGCACGAGGCAGAAACAAATGGGCAAAGTTTCTTTCACCCTGAATGCCTCTGTTACCTAGCAGTAAATAGGTACCTGGGTGTTAGTCAGCTGTCACGGGCTGCTTCCTGGGGGTGGAGGCCTGGTCGAGGACCGGGCCGCGGGACACTAAAGCCCCGAAATCATCTCAAGATAACCTCAAGATAACCTATGTATACATACATATGTCTACAAACATATGTAAACAAAACATTCACAGACTACAAACCACAGCTTTTTAAAAATGACTCAGAACTTAGCTTATGGATAAAACAACCAGTGGGCAAAATAGCTAATAAACAATTATCTCCTCAGCAACCTGTATTAGCCAAAATTTACAACAAACTCTACACTAGTGCATTTAGATTTGTATTTTTTATTATGGCTGCATTTATTTTATTTAATAATACATTCTTGCAAACTTACTAATAGACAAAACTTAGCAGACTGGGCTAGAGGTCACCAGAGTGCCAAGACCACAATATACTCATATCATATACACCATTATACACCGTGCTGGTTGGGCATATCAATTTAAGTATATCTACATTTTGTATTTTGTTTAAAGTTGTTTGCGTTCCATTATACAAAATACTTAACATAATGTAGGTCATGTGTTTGGTTTAAAAAAAAAATCCGTATGCTGTGTGTGAAGTGATGTGTATCCTCCCTGCCCGGTGCCAGGAGCAGGTGTAGGGCGGCCACACGTGGCAGGTGTGTGGAGCAGGGACAGGTGTGTGGAGCGGGGACAGGTGTGTGGACCCGGAACATCTGTCAAGAGGTCAACACCCACACGGAGAGGCCAAGCTGTAACCATGTCAACTCTGGGATGCTGCACAGGGCGGGAGATGCTCTACTTTGCCTGCCAGCCTACACTCACGCTCATAGCAGTTGTTTTCCCCGCAGTAGTAGTCCTCGACGTAGCCATTGGTGGGCTGCAAGACGATACAGAGGGAATAGAGAAGGAGGAAGCGCCACATCATCAGTAGGACGACAGCTCCTCACCCGCCTCTCGCCGCTGCCACACACACACTGCGGCCAGGGTTGCCAGATATAAATTGCTGAAAGTAGCGACCTGACGGTCAAAAAGTAGCGAATTTGTAATAAAAGTAGCCCAATTTTTTGTTGAGTGACTGATACGGGTTTCAAAGTAATATATTTTGATATATAGAGTACACTACACGATGTTAATTGTTTTATTCATATTATTTCTGCACACACACACATACAAAAAAAGAAACCCGGATTTCTAGCAAACATATAAACATAGTTCACACATATAAACGGAGCTCTACAAATCAAGGGACCCAGAATGTGGAATGACCTTCCCAATCATGTTAAAGACTGTACCTCTCTCAACCAGTTTAAGATATAAACTAAGCACTACCGGATAAATTCCCTGTAACCTACCTTACCTCTATATTGTCAACCCATGTCTGTTTTTTTAAACAACACTTTGTCGACCTAATTGTATTTGTGCTGCTTTTTCTGCCATGTTCCCCTCTTTTTTATTTTTATTTGTTCTCAACACATTTTATACTTTAATCTCAATTAGTATTAAGTTTTAGTCTTTAATGTTTTTCCTGCCCGAAACAATTTGCGTAAATAATCACTGATTTTCTCAGCAAAAGCGGTGAAATTCTGCGAAGAAGAAAATGTATTACCATGAGTTGGAGACTAACCGACTAAGTAGCGCGCGCGCACCGAGCGGGGTACTTAAATGCGAGACGCGGACACTGCCTTGATAGCGTTGTTCCTTATTTGCGATTGATTGATGAAGATTAAGCTACCCAAGAGGTGGCACAGGCATGAATAGCCCGTAAGTGGAAGATTTTTTTGGAGTGAATGTGATCTTTGGTCGTAAAAGGATATACTGCGTGCTGTGCTTAGTTTAGTTCATTTATTATGCACCCAATACCCATCTTGTAGGCGGTAGTGGAAAGGGTTACAGAGGCACATAATGGGCTCAGGGACTGAACCCCACAATTCATTTAGCTAAGCAAGTTACAATCTGTGCTCGCATTTAAATTGTCAGTCTATGGCTGCTATCGCGGGGTGCTTGTTTGTGTTGCATCTGACCATAAATAATCATCATTGAGTTGCTTAACATTAATTGCACAAATTAGCCCAACTTGTTTTTAAATTAGCCCAAAAAGTAGCAAGTAGCGAAATTAAAAATTTGGGAGCGCGGGGCTCTCAAAAGTAGCCCAATTCGCTACTTGTAGCCCAATCTGGCAACCTTAAACACTGCCATCAACACATGCGATTCGAAAAAACACCCACAAATTTGTGTCGATTTAAATGCATTTGTTTAATCTCATAGGTTTTAAATTGTTTGAAAATTATCCGAAAAATCTTACGTACTATACGTTACACGTGTTAAAAAATAACTGTTTATAATAGAAACACATCTATTATGTCTACTTTAAGTAGACATGTTTCTGTCTGTTTTAATCACCGATATTAATTTCTTTATTTTTATTAAACGAAAAAGTGTAGAATGAAATAATTAACATAAAAGCAAAACAATATTACATGTCACCTATTTCACACTTCATTCTACTTTTGGATTTGGCTTATGCTAGAATTATATTGGTTTATTGCTAATGTACAACAAAGAAACAGTAATTATATATGCATTAGTTTACAAGTTAGTCTAATAGTAAAGACTGTGTAACTTTCAGGCTTTAATAAGAGCAGAATATGATTGAAAATTCATTTACAATTTAATGAGCTGTTGCGGAAAGTCTCCAGAACCAATGACCAGTCACGTGTCGTACAAGTTGTAATGACCATTAACATACAATGAAAGTTATTTGACAAACAATACATAGTTTGAGTTTACCCTAGCTGTATATTACATTTTTCTATTGTTACCCTATGGTAATAACAGTAGGAGAGGGGGGCAAGAGCCATAATAAGTGCCGTGAGAGAGACGACGACGACGGGTGACCAGTAGACCGCCTTCAGCGACCCTGGCAGTCTCCGGCCGGGAGAGAAGGGTCACACCTCCTGCCTCATCTCCCTCCTGGTCTACAAGGAATACTTGTCATCAGTATTCATATAAATGTAAGGGGGGAACCCGGCATGGATGTTTTAATACACGGGTACAACTGGGTTAGTTTGACCTAACCCTAGGCCGGGGTTGAGGCGTGCCGGGCCCAGTCAGGTCTTACTGATGTAACTAGTCCTATTGACACTTATATTGGTGGAATATACTTAAATTAGGCTGGTGCATTGAAGGTCCAAGCTGAGAGGTCACCATGAGGTCTAGATATTTATTTTATGTGCATACCAGAAGGTACATAAAGGTGAGAGTACATATTGGTGCTTGAGTATTACATTCTTACAAAGCCACTAACACGCTTGTCCTTAAGCTAACTGATAAAAGTAGTAATATACCTATATTTTCTGAGGTCCACCGACGCTAGTGGCCTCGACGAGGACAGGAAGCCAGCAGCTTGTCAATTGTCCCCCTCCCCTTTTGCTCTGATGATCTTTTCCAGTTGGATTTTAAAATTTAAGAATTTTGACATTTACGGCTTCGGCGGGTAGGCGGCTCCATGGGTTTATAACCCTGTGGGTGAGGCAGCATCATCTCCTGTTCTCAGTCCTACAGTGTGGCTTGTTGAGCTTGAAACCATTGCTCCTGTATGTGTTACATTTGACCTTTTGAAGAAATTGTCCGTATCAACATAGGAAGAAACTCAGGAAAATGAAAGGTAGTGAACCCAGGAAAAGAAGGTAGTGATTCATCTTCTTTTTTTTAATTTCATGTAACTGTTATCATTTTTTTGTCTATAAATTTTGCAAGTATTTACCTCCTTAAAATTTTCTTAGATTAAGGACCTGCCCAAAACGCTGCACGCGCTAGTGGCTTTACAAGACTGTAATTACCATATTTGTATCCTCACATTCCTTATGTGCATTCTTGTATATGCATAAATAAATAAATAAATAAATTCAATTGCATATCTCTGGTGTGATATCTCTGGTGTACCCCCATTTACAATAATAATATTACTACAGTATTATTAATTTTTATTCTCGATAAGGTACAATGGGTTGGTGAGATTACATAAGATTAATGTTTTTACATTCTTGTATAACCACAAACACACACAGCATTTTGGGCAGGTCCTTATTCAAACATGTCGGGTAAGATGAAGAAATACATTGTAGCAAGGTTTTATATCAACATGTAACTACAATATTAATTGACAGAGGTGATTACACTTACAAAGATATGTCTTGAAGTACTAATATTGAGGAAGTAGATGGTACAAGGTACAGTGTGAGTTTGAAGCACAAGGTAGGAAACTATGGAAATGAAATTAGGTACTTTTTGGTTTTACTTTTGAACAGGGGGATGGGTTTGACAATATATTTTAATTCAATAGGGAGTAAGTTGCATAGATTGGATCCATTTATTTGCATAGATTTAATTTGACTCTGGGGATATCAAAGAGAGATTTCTAGTGTAGTGCTCATGAGTTCTATTATACCTATCAAGGAAAAGTTTCAGATCAAGATTATCATTTATGAACAAGGTTTTGTACATGTAAATAGCACATGAGAATGTGTGGCGTGTGTGTTTAGCATGGTAAGGGACTTAAACAGAGGGGCTGTGTGTTGTCTGAAGACACAGTTTGTTAGTTATGATAGATATTTGGATTACTGTAACTAAGCATGGAGACCTCACAGAAGAACATCGATTCTCTGGAGAAGGTGCAACACTGCGCAACAAAAATCATTCCAGAGGCAAGTCAACTAACATACGAGGAACATTTGAGGGCCACAGGGCTAACACCACTGCAAACCAGACATGACAGGGCGGATATTATTGAAACTTATAAAATACTAAACAGTTTAGAGGATGTTGATCTGAAAAATTTCTTAAAAAGGTCAGATGTAACAAACAAGGAGCAAGTTTGAAGCTCAAACAAATTTTACGGTTTCAAGCTCAAACAAGTTTTATGGTTTCAAGCTCAACAAGCCATAATTTAGGACTGAGAACAGGAGATGCTTCTTTATCCACAGGGTTATTAACCAATGGAACTGCATACCTGCCAAAGCAGTAAATGACAAAACTCTGCTAACATTTAAAGTACTGTACTGTACAGCTGGAAAATATCAAGGCAAATGGGGGGAACCTTTAATAAGCTGCTGGCTTCCTGTCCTCGTCAAGGCCACTAGTGTTAGTGGTAAACTTGGGTAAATCTGGTAAACATCCTCTAAATTATTAAGTATTTTAAAATTTTGTGACATCTGCCCTGTCATGTCTAGTTTGTGTTGTTAGCCCTATGGCCCTCAACCCTTCCTGATATGAGAGTTGACTTAGCTATGGAATATTTTTTGTTGCCCAGTTTTGCACTTTCTTTAGAGCAGCTATGTTCTTTTGACGATGAGGTCTCCATGCTTGGATACAGTAATCCAAATAGGGGTGCACCAGAGATTTATACAGTTGAATTGCTATCTTTTCCTTAAAGTCAAAGGTACACTTGATTATTCCAAGGGTTTGGTTACCTTTTTTGACTGCTGCTCCTTTCTGTTGTGCAACTTAGCGAACAGTGGATTTTGACTCCAACGTCCTCTTCTTCATCATTCTACTATAACATTATATTATTGGTAAACAATAGCAGTGCCCGTGGTATAGTGGTTAAGATGCTCGCCTGGCGTTTCACAAGTTCTTTGTCCTGGGTTCGTATACTGGCCGGGCAAGATTTACTGGCCGCAAATCCTTAACTGTATCCTCTGTTTAACCCAACAGTAAAATGGGTACCTGGTTAAGACGATTTGGTGGGTCGTATTCCAGGCAACATAGGATTAACCACTGCACTGCACCAAACAGCAAATGTCATTTTGTGAGTTGTGCATTTTTTTTTTACTTACCTTGACCTTACCTTGAGGTTACCTTGAGGTGCTTCCGGGGCTTAGCGTCCCCGCGGCCCGGTCGTCGACCAGGCCTCCTGGTTGCCGGACTGATCAACTAGGCTGTTGGACGCGGCTGCTCGCAGCCTGACGTACGAGTCACAGCCTGGTTGATCAGGTATCCTTTGGAGGTGCTTATCCAGTTCTCTCTTGAACACTGTGAGGGGTCGGCCAGTTATGCCCCTTATGTGTAGTGGAAGCGTGTTGAACAGTCTCGGGCCTCTGATGTTGATAGAGTTCTCTCTGAGTACCAGTTGCACCTCTGTTTTTCAACGGGGGTATTCTGCACATCCTGCCATGTCTTCTGGTCTCATGTGATGTTATTTCTGTGTGCAGGTTTGGGACCAGCCCCTCTAATATTTTCCACGTGTAAATTATTATGTACCTCTCCCGCCTGCGCTCAAGGGAGTAGAGTTTTAGGCTCTTTAGTCGGTCCCAGTAATTTAGATGTTTTACTGAGTGGATTCTAGCAGTAAAGGATCTCTGCACGCTCTCCAGGTCAGTAATTTCTCCAGCTTTGAAAGGTGCTGTCATTGTGCAGCAGTACTCCACTCTAGAGAGCACAAGCGTTTTGAAAAGTATCATCGGTATAGCATTTCTAGTGTGAAAAGTTCTTGTTATCCATAGGCTATAGGTTATCCATATGTTATCTTAGGCTATATTCTAATGTTTTTTAATGTTTTCATTACTGTTTTAAAATGAAAATAGTTGAGTTTGGAATCATTTTGACATTAACTTTACCTGACCATTTATATAAACAATAAAAATATGTCCTTAACAATTGCACTATGAAGTTTTTGCCAAAAACAGGTGAGCAGTGCAGGGGTTAAGGAACAGTTTGTTGCATCTGACAGGTCCGTTTACCAAGATGGCTCACATCTTGCACTCGAACTCTTTGATTCCTCCTGCATCTGAACTCCATGCTCTTTTCCTTCATTCGAGCTCTCTCTCTCTCCTTGGCCTTGCTCAAGCTCTCTACTTCAGGTCTCATCTCAGCTATCACAACACATCACTACATTGCCAACAACCAACTTCTGTAATAAAGCCTATATTAAATAAACATAAAAAAACACTAAACACACTTGAGATTTATCACCTGAACTCGTATACATAAGCTTACGTTACAATTTCCTTCAAATAGTAGCTAATTTTATTTTGACTAATCTTTCTGGCTGGTTTCCTAAATTTTGTGAAGGTCTCTGATATCCGTGCTTCCATGACCTTGTATTATTTTTATTTATATATACACAAGAGTTCTTGCATTCTTGTACTCGCCTAATTGTGCTTGCGGGGGTTGAGCTTTGGCTCTTTGGTCATTTGAGTAAAGACACTGGTAAAGACATTTGGTAAAGACACTGGCATGCATATTGTTTCGGGCAGGTCATTAATCCTAATTTTTTCCCAGAATACGACCTGCCAAATCATTTAACAAACCAGGTACCCATTCACTGCTAGGTGAACAGAGGCTACAGTTAAGGATTGGCACCCAGCCAATCCTCTCCAACCAGTATACGAACCCAGATCAAAGTGGTTGCGAAGCGCCGGGCGAGTGTTTTACCACTGTGCCACGAGGACTATTAAGTGTTAATACTGTAGTATTATTAAGTTATTACTTAAGAGTTAATGCTTAATAATACTGTTAAGAACTGTAGAGAAAATAAAATTCTGGTCCTGGCCCCTGGTAAGTAAGCATGGGTCTGAGTCCTGGTAAGGTCTTTAGTTGTAACAATAATAGTGTGTAAGTGCTGGAGTACTATTGAAGACTAGATTGTGAAGGGGTTTTCCTTGCATTCAAGGACTGAAGTAGCCAATGCTAAAAGAAAATTAAAGATAAGCATCCAGATATTCCTCTTACTGCTGTTATATCCGCATACATGTTGCTCTCCACAAACACGCAATGATTATGTATATCTAGGCCTAAAATGTGTACTTGTAATGCATAACTGTCTATCAGTGCATTAATCATTCAATTTATTAATCAATATAATTTTTAAATTTATTCTTTGGGTACCATTTATACAGTCATTTAAAGAGACCTATTATTCTACCATTAAAATTACCTATCACAGTTATTCAGTAAATCTTTGCTATTGCACCAATTTTATTGTCAACACCATCACAAAAAATCTTGACTCTGTTATTTTCCCCATAACAAAAAATCAAACTACAGTAATGCAAAATAGTCTAATAGATATAAAAGTTACCACATACCATATATAATAATTGTTCATGGAAGCATAAGTATGATCAAGTCTCTAGTAATCCATTTTTTCCTTTCAGATGGCTAAACAAGGTCCTCGTAAATTTACCGGAAATGCTCAGGATTATATTGATTGGTTTAAAGGTGTTGAATTTGCACCAGTAAGTATTGGCTTTGTAATGTACTTCATTTGTTGGATGATTATGATGGGGTGTAGAGGAATCTGAACACAAGAAATAGGAGAGAAAGAGAGAAAACAAATACTGTAAATAATAAATAAATAAATAAATTTTATTCAGGAAAAGTACATACATAGTTGATTTACAAACATAATGATGGATTTATAGACAGAGCTAGTACATACAATACCTAAAGCCACTAATACTCATAGCGTTTCGGGCAAGGTGTGGGGGGGGGGGGGTAATTGTAATTGGGGGTAAACTTGATAGTAATTGGGATTAGGTATAAATTGTGTTGAATGAAGGAATAAAAAAAAAAAGGGGGGAGCATAGCAGAAATCAGCAATTATACACGGTGGTGAACAAACAGCTTTGTTTAAAAAATAGCAAGACATGGGTTGACATTTAGGGGGTATGGTAGGTTACATTGAGAACAAGAATGAACATGGAGAATAAAAATGAACAAGATGACACTATACCCATGACCATATTTTCCACACCCACCCATTGCAGCTCATGAAGTACCACCACTTATGTGCTCCAACATGACATCAACAGCAGTACAATACAGCTTCATACAACTAAGTGTAATGTGCTTATTGAGAGATCATCTAAAAAATATTTGAAACATTCTTGACAATTTTTGTTTCCACATACCCGTGTTCTTAAAACACTTTTCGTGTAATAATCACATGCAATCCTTGCTTCTTCAGTGACCCCCCCCCCCACCCTCGACCCCACCACCCCAAAACCACCCCTCCCCCACATCCCCAACCCCACCCACCCCTCTACCTACCTACCTCTAAATATATATTCACTAGTCTAAATACACACATGCACTGGCATACTGAAAGGGAATTTATGAGGAAACGAGAAGTTTCCTAAGGGATATACCATGAGACACAGACCTCAGAGTTAGGTCTGTACAAGACATAATGGACTAGGTCACCCAAAAGTGTCAGGAGGCAGTAAACAGGTTCATCCTGGCCCAAAAAGAAAAATCCGAGAAGCAAAAGAAGAATCCATGGTTTAATAGGGCATGTATGGAAGCAAAGGAAATGAACAAAAGGGCGAGGAGGAACTTCCGAAATAACAGGACACCAGAAAGCAGAGAGAGAGATACCAGAGAACCAGGAATGAGTATGTTAGTGTGTGAAGACAAGCAGAGAAAAATTATGAAAATGATGTAGCAAGCAAAGCCAAGACCGAACCAAAGCTACTCCACAGTCACATCAGGAGGAAAACAGTGAAAGAACAGGTAATGACACTTAGAACAGGCGAGGACAGGTACAGTATACAGAGAATGACAAAGAAGTGTGTGAAGAACTCGACAAGAGGTTCCAGGAGGAGGTTTAAACATTGTCATCTCAATTCTCGTCCTAGGTTTTTCAATTTAGCATCAATGTGTTCACAATAGAATTCTTTACAGGACTAAATGAATATAAAGCCCAAAAGCTCAACGAGAAAGTGAGAGCATGTTACCCGGGAGCACGCAAGAGCAATAGAATGTGTACACACTACACTTTGGACATCTCATTTCTCACCTAGGTCTTTCATTTTGGTATCATTGTGTTTGCAATAGAATTCCCTACAGGAGTATATGCAAATACAGTATAAAGTTCAAAAGCCCGGCGTACCACCCACAGCAAACAGAGAAAGTGACGGAGCATTACCTCGGTGAGCGCTAATAAAGAGCAATAAAATTGGTATTCTCCTTTCAACTTTGTTACCTCAGTCCTGGTCCTAGGTCTTTCATTTTGGTATCAATGTATTTGCAATGAAATTCCCTACAGGAGCATATGCATATAATGTTCAAAAACCGCCGTGTGGCCATTCTGAAGCCACCGCCAATTACTGTCAAGCACTCAATGCCGAGTCCTCAGCGGACCTGCCTCTAGGAAACAGACAACTCGATGCTTAGTCGTTGCCGAGCAAAAGTGTTAAGAAGCACATCAACAAACTGGAAAAGGTGCAAAGACATGCTACTAAGTGGCTCCCAGAACTGAAGGGCAAGAGCCATGAGGAGAGGTTAGATGCATTAAATACTGTATGCCAAAACTAGAAGATAGAATAAAAAGAGGCGATATGATCACTACATACAAGATAGTAACAGGAATTGATAAAATTAACAGGGAAGACTTCCTGAGACCTGGAACTTTAGAGAACAAGAGGTCATAGATTTAAACTAACTAAACAAAGCAGCCGAGGAAATATAAAAAAATTCACTTAAGCAAACAGAGTGGTAGACGGTTGAAACAAGTTAGGTGAGAAGGTGATGGAGGCCAAAATCATTAGTACTTCCAAAGCGTTATATATAACAAAGAGTGCTGGGAAGATATGGGACACCACAAGTGTAGCTCTCATACTGTAACTACACTTGGGTAATTACACAATTAATTTATTACACACCATGTCCATCCATCTACTCCTTGGCTTTCCTCTTTTCCTCTTGCCCATTTGAATACACAAACACTTATCCATTTAATCATTCATTTGTTCAACATGACCAAATAATTTGAATAAACTCTCCTCAATCTTAAAATTTTCTGACTTTTGTACTTGGCTTTCCCTGACACATTTGTTAATTTACTAACACCACAAATGTAGCCAAGTGTCCATTTTTACTGCTCGAGCTCAGTTTTTTATGCTTATGTCACACAAGCAGGAGCCGGTCGGCCGAGCGGACAGCACGCGGGACTTGTGATCCTGTGGTCCTGGGTTCGATCCCAGGTGCCGGTGAGAAACAATGGGAAGAGTTTCTTTCACCCTGTGCCCCTGTTGCCTAGCAGTAAAACAGGTACCTGGATGTTAGTCAGCTGTCACTGGCTGCTTCCTGGGGGTGGAGGCCTGGTCGAGGACCGGGCCCCGGGGACACTAAAAGCCCCGAAATCATCTCAAGATAACCTCAAGAAGCATCATGCATTCCTAGATAAAAGTAGGCACTACAACTCCATTATGTTACCCTTTAATGACTTTTCTTTCAGTATTATTCTACCTTACTTGAGTTTTCATTTTATTTCAATATATATATATACAATAGTTCTTACATTACAAAGTCACAAGCACACATTGCAACAGTATCTTTTCCTTTCCTCTACCTCTGTTGTCTCTGTTGTATTAAGTCTTCTTGTCAGCTGCTGAATCTAGTCATTTTTTCCTGCGTACCCCAGTTTCCCCACACCAAATTTTCTTCTCTCTCCATTACCAATACAGTGCCGGTACTTTACAGTTGTTTTGCCAAGTTGAAATATGTACAGAAAGAAGGAAGCAACAAACACCAATAATCTTTAACAGTTTTCTTTAAACAATGAATATATAAACAGGGGCCTGTAGTGCAGTGGTCTGCATTATCAGCTCACTAAGGTCCAGGGTTTGATTCCTGCGGTAGGACAAAGACTGTTGGGAATAGTTTCATTTCGCATGCTGCATCTGTTTACCTAGCAGTAAATAGGTACCTAGGAATTAAGAAACTGTTGTGGGTTGCATCCTGGCGAGGCCAGTCATTGGTCTAGGAGGACGTTGATAAGCTTAACATGCTTACTGTGCCTATCTGTTTAATTCACCCCATTTTAGCAATGATTAATGATTTTCTGTTCAAAGTGTTCGTAAAAAATATTTTTCGGAATTTCAATTGGCAAATCAAGCGAGTTTTTTCTCAACAGGTGGTGCTTCCAGACAGCCAGACAGATGGTGAAGGTCTACCTTTAAGTAAAGATGAAGAATTAAGTCTCCCTCCACTGCCAGACTACATGCGACGTGAACTTGGCCACACGTATGCTCAGAAGTACCAAAAAGAATTTGAGAACACCAAGGTTAGTACAGTACTGTAATAGGTTGCTCATATTTTTTAATGTTTGCCCTATTTTTCATAATTATATTAACATGTGTAGGTACGGTATAGTAATAAAGTTGGCAAATTTGATGGTTACCAGGAGGAAGTTATTATACTAATATGAAAATTAAAGCCTAACAAGTTCCAAGGATCAAACAAAATATTTAAAATTAACCCTTCCATTGTGCAACACAGCTGTAGTACTTTTTAAGTACTGCATAAGATGTAAGTCCTTCATATACATGTGTTACTGGAAGCCTAAGTTCCAGTAACAATCCCCCATCTTTAAAAAAAAAAAGTCCAGTGTGTCTCCGTTTCCTCCAAGGGCCTTAGTAAAAACATGAGAACCATGTCTGGCACTTCACCATCCAGTGTCTGGATGTGCAGAACGGCCATACTAGGATCCATTGAACTTTTTAGCAGAAGAGTTATTATCAGGTATATTTACAGGAAAAATGTGTGTTATGTGCAGTTACAGTATAACATTTAGGTTTATGTGTTTTAGTATGAATAAATACATGGTGTACATATACTTTCCTCACTCTGCTGTAGTTACTCTATTATTCAATTTATCCATATCTCACCTATGGTATCAGTGTCTGGGGATCTACCACCCTTAATTACCTCTGACCCCTAATTACTTGAAACAAAACAAAAAAACAAAATCAATAAGTAGAACAATAACAAATTCCAGTCCCAGACGCCACTCTGCAACCTTACCGAAACCTTTAAACATGTTAAATATCAAGTTTTTACACATACCGAGATGTTCTCTATATCTACAAAACTAAATTGCAATGATAATCCTGATTACACACAGAGATCACACTAACGTGATGCATTAAATGAACAAATCCACAAGGGCTGTGACGAGGATTCGAACCTGCGTCCGGGAGCATCCCAGACACTGCCTTAATTGACCTTAAATTGCACATTGCATCATATGATGCTTTGGAGTACTACGCAAGATTTGAACGGCCCGCGAATACACGGGGTTCACCACACCTTCATCAGGGCTCTTGTAAACAGACACCATTTAAAAAAAATATCGTGGGCCAAATTCCCGGGTGTTAGGGGCCTCAGTATTGAGTGAGCAACTAAGCCTGACACACGCAGCATGAGCTCACAGCACTGCTGTTCACCTTGTGAACAAGGTGAAACAGCACCAAAATGAAATAAAAAAATGAAACAAGAGAAATGCTCTACAAATCAAGGGACCCAGAATGTGGAATGACCTTCCCAATCATGTTAAAGACTGTACCTCTCTCAACCAGTTTAAGATAAAAACTAAGCACTACCTAATAAATTCCCTGTAACCTACCTTACCCCTATATTGTCAACCCATGTCTGTTTTGTTTTTTAAACAACGCTGTTTGAATGTAATTGTCTGTAATAATTTGTAATTGTATTTGTGCTGCTTTTTCAGCCATGTTCCCCCCCCTCTTTTACCTCTATTTTTATTTGTTCTCAACACATTTTATTCTTTATACCCATTAGTATTAAGCTTTAGTCATTAATGTTTTTCCTGCCCGAAACGCTTTGCTTAATAGTGGCTTTAGGCATTGTATGTACTAGCTCTATCTATTAATCCAACAAACTTTGTAAAATCTCTTGTATGTATGTACCTTACCTAAATAAACATTTATTTTTATTTTTTTTTGTGACCACAGCATCGCCTAAAAATGCCATAATATACTTGTTCATGCTATTATGTAGTGATGATATTATTACAGAAGACCCCTGACTGTGATAAAACTGGCTAGGGTTCTGATAATAGCAGGATTGTGGTGATATTTAGCGCTGTGCTCCATGGAGGGAGGAGTAATGCTGTGGGAGGCAGGGTAGTGGCGTTGTCTTCTGACTGTGTGTGGCCACCTTTTATTGACTACACTCCCCATACCAGCTTAGTGGTTCGCTATGGTGAACACAAATGTACATACAGGTACTTACATATAACGTGTGTATAGAGGGTATAAACAGCAAGAGGAGTAGGTTGGGAGCCGCCATTTTGGTGAGGGCGGTGGTGTCGTCTTCACGACTTATCATGTTGTTTACTGGTGACCACGATGGTCTTTGGGCACCATACCAGTTTACTTGTACAAGTATGGTGAATAAAACAGGTAGATACTTGTATATAATGTGTGTATATAGCGTAATAACACCACAAACAGTATTGTTGGAGGAGACATTAGTGAGTCTGGCCTTGAGGGCGGCAGCCACCAGCTGACTGTGTGAGCTGGTGGCTGGATTACGTCTTTGTGCTTTTACTCACCACCAAGCTTAGATGTTCCTAATACCTAATTCACCCAAATCTTTAGTACTAAAGTATGTACAAGTTAATGCTTACCTTTATTGATGACTCCTTGTTGGCATATGGAAGACGGTGAGGAGGGGTGGGAGAGGAGGAGAGGTGTTATTGTTTGGAACGAAAGTACCTTTCCATTATAACATCATGCAGTGATGACTTCTTTGGAGTACACTCTATCCTATATTTTGCCTGCATACCACTAGGACCTGCTTGTGGCTCACTGCTTGTTTTTCTTATTAAAAACCTTTCCATGGAGACTGGTTTTCCTACGTTGTAACACTTGTCTGTAGTGAGGCATCAGTGTCATTAATAAGGTTAAGACAATGGCCTACTACAGCATGCTCTGGGCGAGTTGTTTCAATAAAAGTTTGCATTTTTTCCCATAATCTACACAATTTCTTAATTGTTGAGGAAAGGACATTCTGTACTACCTCTTCATCTCCTGAAGAAATTTCCTCGGCTGTCTCTTGTTGCTGCTCCTTGTGAAAAGCTAGGAGTTCTTCAGTGGTCAGCTCTTCGCTGTGTTCATCAACCAACTCGCAACACAAAACACTCAACTCTCACAACACTATGAATGCCACTTCTTTTTCTAAATTTCTCAAACCATCCCCTGCTCGTCTTAAACTCTTTCGTATCTGTATTACTCGATCCAACGGTTTTCTTTAAAAGGTCTTCGTGCAGTTGCCTTGCTTTTTCACAAATGATGGCCTCTGAAACGCTATCATCTCCTAACTCCTTGTCGTGTATCCAAGTTAATAACTTTTTCAACATCCTCAAGTGTTTGTGATCTTTGTTTCATGATTGTTGATACACCTTTTGGCACTTTAGCACTCGTAATGTTCTTTTTCTTAGCAATTATAGTACATATCGTTGACATAGATTTCTTGTACAGCCTAGCTAGTTCAACAACCCATGTGCCATTTTCATGTTTACAAATGAATTTTTGTTTTCCTCTATGGTCATCCTCACATGTGTTTTCTTGGATTGAACCTTATCACTGGCTTTCTTGGGACCCATGGCAAGATATATAATAATTACTTTTATATTCAAATACCCCAAAATTAAAAAAAAACACTAATTCTTTACAAAGAATTCATGCGCGATTGTCACTTGGCGGAAGGCACTAGTAAACTGAGGCGCGGTCGCCGTGTCACCACGCTCTAGGTTGGCCATACACATATCAACAAATTGTTACCCGAGGCAAAGTTCGTAACCTGATAAGGATTTTACAAAGAAATTGGGCTCGTAACCCAAAAAGTTTGTAAAGAGGGGCGTTTGTAAGCCGAGGTGTCACCTGAAATTTTTACTCTCGTTATCTCTGTTGACCAAACCACACAGAAAGTGAAGGGATGATGACGTTTTGGTCCGTCCTGGACCATCTTGAGAATAGGCACAGTTGATAAAATGCAAAGGGTAACCAAGGCGAAAGAATGATTTGTAGATAAAGGCAATTTCAGAATCAAGAAACTGAGGGTTGCTGATGCATAGAGCGCGGAGGAAGAGAGAGACGAAGACACCTTTCTTAACAGGAGGAGGATGGTAGGAAAAGAAGTGAATGTACATGCCACTATGCATGGGTTTGCAGTAGACAGAGAAAGAGAACCCGGACACAGAGCTGTGAACATGTACGTCAAGAAAAGGAAGGAGGGAATTAGATTCCCATTCAACTTTGAAATGGATGGAAGGAGCCAGATTGTTAAGAGAGGAGAGGAAAGGCTGGAAAAGACTAAGGTCATGAGGCCATAAAGCAAAAATATCATAAATATAGCAAAGCCAGAGAGAGGAACGAGTATCATTAGAAGGAAGAACAGCAGTTTCGAAGTATTCCATGTAGAAATTGGCAAGAACAAGGGAGAGAGGGGAACCCATAGCGACACTGAAAATTTGAGTGCAATATTTACCGTTGAAAGAGTTAGTCAACACAGAGTCTTATGAGTTTGAGGAAAAACTCAAGTGGGGAAACGGGAGAGGAAGAAGGCTCTCAGTCGCCTTCTGTCTAAGGAAAGAGAGAACGTCATCGAGGGCAACATTAGTGAACAGAGTTGACATCAAGACTAAGCATCTTACAGAAGGGCTGGAGGCGCAGTCTTTCTATGAAATCCTGAGAGTGACGAAGGTGGGCAGGAGAAAAGGTGCCATGGTAAGGCGTCAGAGTTTTAGCAAGCCAGGAGGCAAGAGGATAACTGACAGAGCCCAGTGACGAAATGATAGGACGAAGAGGAATGCCAGGAGTTTTAGGTAGACCATAGAAATAAGGAAGAGAAGGGCAGATGACACGGAAACCTTTAATGAGATCGAAATCAGGACGACAAAGACTAGAGAGCTGTCTTAGTTTGCGGATAAAGGAATTTTTAAGGTGATCCAAAGGGTTAGAAGTCAGAGGGACATGTGTGCAGGAGTCAGAGAGCAAGACATCTGCTTTCTGGAGGTAGTTCTCACGGTCAAGGACAATCCCCGAATTGCCTTTGTCGTTATCTCTGACTAAAGCAAGACTTTGTCCCCTTGTTAATCCTTTAATATACCTGTAATAACTCGCCAAACTGCACGTTGTCAGGTGTCACTTGTTATATTCTCATCGCTTTAAAAATGTCAAGTTTTGTTAGTAACTAAATAGAGAGTATGTCTCGTAATAATTCTCGTATTACAGTATTCTAAAATATGTTACCCCCTCTTATTTTTTGTTTTTTGTGCAGGTGTTGCAGAGTGCTAACACTCCTGACAGTGCACACACTTCTTGGGGAGTGGCTCTAGAGGAAGAAACATTAGCAGGCTCAGCACTTGAGGATGAAGATGTGGATGCTCAGAAGGCACAAGTTTACTTGCATTACAATTTCAACAATAAAGATCTGGAGGCAACCTTGCCCATTTTTGATGCCCGAAAGGAAGTGAGTAACTTGTGCAGTGCATGCAAGAAATGTGGGCCTTTATATCTATATATATATATAATTTTTTTTTAAAGTGTAATAGATCCAGCAAAGATTACCATTGTACCATTTATGAGTATTGTCAGCGCTTGTCAAGAGTGCTTATCTTTCAGTGACAAAGGAAGATAGTGCGCTTTGTCCTGCTTCCTAGCCATTTATACCTGTGTCACCAATAGTTTCTCTTGACATTAAGAATTTCATCATATTTCTCTCCAAAGTTGTGGATGTCAAGCTTTCACCAATATCCTATCTCTCTTTTTTTAATTTAAATAGACTTACTTTATCCACTTCATCTATGCCTCTCGAGATGTTGTACATAGTTATCGTGTCATCTTTGTTTCTTCTCTCCTCTAAGGTTGTATGGGTGAGTTCTCTCAGCTTGGCCTCATAGCACAGGCCTCTCAATTCTGGTACTAGTCTAATAGCAAACCTCTGAACTTCCTCATGAACAGCTTCTTTCGAACTGTTTAAGCCTTCTCATATAATGTGCTAATTAAGAAAAACTATGAAATAAGATCTGATCCTCTATTTGTTCTTAGAAACTCCCATAAAGTACTTTCAGCACACGTTTGCAACTTACTTCTGTTAAATCTTTTCTGTAACTCGATGTTTAAGCATCTTATTCACTACACCTGCTAATGGTTTATTTGTTAGTTTACCTCCTATTTGAAATCAGTTTGCTTGAACTGAAATGAGAGTAACATTTTAAGGTTTCTGTAATATTTCATGCTAATTTTTATATTTTTCTAGATCTTGGAGAAGATTGCTCTATATCAAGTTGTCATTATTGAGGGAGAAACAGGATGTGGAAAATCAACGCAAGTTCCTCAGTTCATTCTTGATGATGCTGTGGAAAAACTTTGTCATTGCAATATTGTGGTCACACAGCCTCGCAAGATTGCTGCTATTTCTTTGGCTAGTAGAGTGTGCAAAGAACGTGGCTGGCAATTGGGAAAGTTAGTTGGCTATCAGGTAAGATTGTTGTGTTGTAAATAATTAATTAATTTATATTCAAGAAAGGACATACAGTGGTGATTGCGTGTGACATTCTTGCAGTGGCACTAACACATATCATTTTGGGCAGGTCCTTAAGCTAACAATAAATGTATTAATAATTTAATAATTCATTGTATTGGGAGACAAGAAGCAAGAGTGTGTATTCATACACGTTAGGCTTTTATCAAGATCTCCCCCCCCCCTCCCAAGGCCTAATTACTGACCCCGCCCAGGATGGTAACCCCACATAAAGCTGGCTAATTCCTGAGTACCTATTCACTACTTGGTGAACAGACCCATTAGGTGAAAGGAAATGTGTCTAACCATTTTTGTCCCGCCCGGGATTCGAACCCAGAATTCTAGATTGTATGTCGAGAATGAACCCGCCTGTATTACTGGGACCCGTGTTAGATACATCGTAACAGAATTTGAATTCTACATAATAACTACATTATAACTTGATAGTATAGATTATGCTGTGCAGTGGAGTTGGTGTGGGTGTCAACACCAGGTGTATAGTTTGCTGGGGAAGAGGACACAAATGCTCAACTTGGATGGTTTTTGTTAGTTTCTTTTCAAATATATAGTTGCAAATATATGGTTTGTGTTTAATAATGCAAGTTGACCAGACCACACACTAGAAGGTGAAGGGACGATGTCGTCCCTTCACCCCTCTAGTGTGTGGTCTGGTCAACATACTTTAGCCACGTTATTGTGACTCATCGCCTGCTTAATAATGCAATTTATGGATACATAATTGACAAAAACAGTGAATACTACTGTTCTACAATGTACTATATCTACATATGTCGCACAATAACCTATTACTGGCATAGCTCAAAGAACGTGTCTTCACATTCCTTTGCTGTGAATCAGTCTGGAAATGTCATTCAGGAATGGATTCAAACACTGGCAGTAAAGACCAAATCTCGATAATATGACAATAGTCTTAGGCCTAGAGTACATAGCCTCATTGCATTGCAAGCAATTACAAATGATAGCAAAATTTATTCATGTGTTTTGGGTTAACTTCATAATCCATATAATAACCATATTTATATCATTTATATAAAAACCAGGGGCCAGATTTACGAGCAATTATGCAAGCACTTACGAATCTGTACATCTTGTTTCAATCTTTGTGCGGCTTTGTTTACAATTATTAAACAGTTAATGAGCTCTGAAGCCCCAGGAGGCTGTTTATAACAATAGCAATAGTTGATTGGCAAGTTTTCATGCTTGTAAACTGTTTAATCCTTCTGTTGCTAAGGGCTATTTGGCCATTGTCACCCACAGGCACATAACAGAAAAAAAAAAAATTCTAAACCTGTTAACTTGTGTTCCCTGAACACAGGAAAAAAATAATAAAAAAATCGTAAGTGTATATTTTGCCCGCTATAGGGCGGGGAAGTCTGGCAAAAAGGAGGCGCTGACTCAGCATGAGTCTGAGGTGGTCTGCTCAGCCCCAGCTGTTGGGCAGGATTGGCCACAAAGAGAAAATTACCTAATTATTTCAATGTCTCTGATTGATTGATTGATTGATTGATTTTTTTTTTTTTTTTTTCTGTAATAATATTTAATAGTGTGTAGTGTGATATATTTATGTAATAAAATGTGTGAATCATCACTGTACTCATAATTATGGTGTGCATATTATTGATTAAATTGTGTTCATAAAACAATAAAAAAATACTTTGTCGGTTATTACACTATATACACAGGTTATATATACGTATCTGAATGTTTTGTTCACCATAATGAACCACTAAGTTGATACTGCGAGTCATAAAGCAGCGAGGTGTGGCCACCACATCTGCCAGTCAACCTCTCTCCGCCATTCCCTCCCTCAATGACTCCTCACTCGCTCACATCCTCCTCCCACCATACTGTTTTTGCTTTTATTTGGCTGTCACTCCCCTCCCTCACCTCACCTGACTCGCCAACATTTGCCTCCCACCATACTGTGTTTTGGTTTTATTCACTATATTCAGATGTTATATGTAAGTATCTGCACGTTTTGTTCACCATAACGAACAACTAAGCTGGTATAGTGAGTCCAAACAGTAAAAGGTGGTTACACAGAGTTGGCAGACAACGTTACCTCCCTCCCCACCAAGATTACTCCTCCCACTACAGCGCTAATTATCACAACAATCCTGCTATTATCAAAATCCTGGTCATTTTTATCACAGTCGGGGGTCTTCTGTAATACCATCATCGCTAAATAATAGCATGTACGTATATATTGTGGCATTTTTAGGCGATGCTGTGATCACAAGCTGAACAGCAGTGCTGTGAGCTCATGCTGTGTGTGCCAGCCTTGGTGGCTCACTCAGTACTGAGGACCTCACACCCGGGAATGTGGCCCACAATTTAAAAAAAAAAAATGGCATCTGTTTATAAGAGCCCTGATAAGGCGAGGTGAAACCCGTGTATCCTCGGGCCGTTTAAATCTTGCGTAGTACTGTACTCTAACACTTCACATGACGTGAAGTGCACTTTTGGGTAAGTTACTCAACACGTCGCATGACTTGTTGCGCAGTTTAAGGGTTAATAAATGTAACCAAAGCCGTCAAAGATTGACGAAAGATGTACCCGTTTGTAAGTACTTGCGTAAGTGCTTTGTGAATCTGGCCCCACACAATGATATTGGACAATGATGGTAACTGTCTTGGCATAGGTCAGAGCATCAAATGACAATAATTGAATGTTAGGGGTTAATGACCAGATGCACTGAATAAAGAGAGATTGCACATTTTCTGAGCTATTGCACCAAATTGTTCTGTACAGTACCATAATTACTCAACTCAAATCAGCAATTAAAACAATAACAAACTTAAGCTCCAGACAGCAATTGGCGCACTTAAATCTTTGAATGTTAGATATGAAGTCATTGCACATTCTCTAAAGTGTACTCTGTATACACTGTCTATATAAAACTGAACTGCAGTGCTAATTCCAATCTTAAATGCTTCCTTGAGGGTTGTAACAGAATCCATGGGTGCCACATGAGAAACAAATATCTATTTTACATTCTAAGAGTGCACCTTAATCAAAGTATAAATGCTTGGCAAATAAAGCGTCCCAAAGTGTGGAGTGACCTTCCTAACATCAATGACTGTCCCCTCTCTCAACTAGTTAGAAAGAGAAACTAAGTACTACCTAATCAACTGTATGGAACCTACCTTACTTCCTAAATGTCAACTTTTGTTTTGCTATTTTGAACATTACTGAACCTGTAAAGTTGCTGATATCTACCATGTAAAAATAAATAAACCAAATTGTATTCCTTCTTAAAATTATTAAATCTAAAAATTTCTTGCATTCTCTGCTTGGCGCCCAACCACTTGGGCTGGACGGTTGAGCGATGGTCTCGCTTCATGCAGGTCAGTGTTCAATTCCCAACAGCCCAAGTGGTTCAACACCATTCCTTCACCCTGTCACATCCCAAATTTTTATACTGATCCAATTCAAGTGTTATATAGTCTTAATGACTTGGAGCCTTCCGCTGATAATTCCCTCCCTCTCTACTTGGCTTCGCAAGTACCATCAAGTAATGCTATCGCCCTTCACTTGCCAGGTTACTAAAAATGACAGCCAGCAGGTGGCAGCACCTCCATCAGTATACTGTAGGAGAGAGAGAAGGATGGTTGAATTGAAATTCAACTGTATTGTTACTAATTTATACTAACATCACCCTGGAGGAGGTAGAATCATATTTCACAATGTTTGCTGATGAGGCTAAATTTACAAGAAAATGACCTACACGGGGGCACCTCACAAGCACACACACCACAAAACCTGTGTGTGTAGAATCTCTGCCCTCTCTCGTGGAATCCAGGGGACGCTCCTCTAAAGAAAGTGCATGGGAAAACTTTGCCTACAGAATCATACTCGTTTATTAATACATATCAAACACAAATGAAATAAAAAAAAACACAAAACCAACTGGTATTTTAACTTTGAGAAACCTTTACATTAACAACCACAAAAGCTAAACTATATATACCAGTCATTACAATAAACTAGTTACACGATTTAACACTATCGCACTCCGTTGCCTACGTCCGTCGTCATGTATTTTTCTCAAGTCATCTCGGTTGCCTCTGTCTTGCGTCACTCATTAAAATATTTAAAAATTTAAATTTTATCTGCTCAATCTGGGAGTGGTTTTAAAATGAGTGCCTTTAGATTACGCACCATTTGATATCAAAGTGAAAGGTGTAACACGAAAATTGATGTCGGAACACTGGAAAGATATCAATATTTTTGTGGTGATGAGCGTCAAAAAGTGTCCAAATATTAAAATATTTGCTAAAAATTCCATTTATTGTTCTATTATTATGGGATTAGTTTTAAAATACGTGTCTTTATATTACGAACAATTTGATACCAAGGATGTGACGCGAAAATTGATGTCGGAAAGATAATACTGTAAATACTTCTGTGGTCCAAATTTCAAATATTTGGAAAATTCCATTTATTGTTCTATTATTATTATGGGACTAGTTTTAAAATACCCGTCTTTATATTACGAACAATTTGATACCAAGGATGTGATGCGAAAATTGATGTCAGAAAGATAATACTGTAAATACTTCTGTGGTCCAAATTTCAAATATTTGGAAAATTCCATTTATTGTTCTATTATTATTATGGGACTAGTTTTAAAATACCCGCCTTTATATTGCAAACAATTTGATACCAAGATGAAACACGTAATACGAAAATTTGTTTTCAAACTGAACGAGTATATACATTAGTCCGCAGGTGTGCCAATTGGTGCTCGTTCACGGGTAACTTTGCCGACTTTAGGCTTTGTTGTGGGGAGTCACGGCGGGCCTTTGGACCTTATATGCATATACCCCTGTAGGGAATTCTATTGCGAACACAATGATACCTAAACGAACGACGTAGCACGAGAATTAGGGTGAGAAAACTGAAACGAGTATACACTTTTCGATGTCGTTGCACGCTCGCTCGCACCGAATGGCACACGACGTCATTTCTGTGGCGCGATGCAAGGAGTGCGATAGTGTTAAAGTGTGTTTGTATTACAACAATTCAGTAATCAACAAACAGACTTCCTTTCCCATGATAATGGAGAAACCAGTTCAGGTTGAGGATTGGGTGCTGACATTTTAAATTACTGCAATTTATTGTAAAATCTTTGAATAATATGTTTGCCATTAATTTACCGTTTCATATTTGTAATGTCTTAGGTTGGATTGGAAAACTGCACAGATTCAGATACACGTATCTCGTATGTCACAACTGAAGTATTAATCCAGAAGCTAATCCATAAACGCAGCCTAGATCAGTACACACACATCATCTTGGATGAAGTTCATGAGAGGGATCACCACACAGACTTTGCTCTTCTAATTGTGAAAAAGCTACTGCGCACCATTTCTCCCAAAGTTAAGGTGAGAAGTCTCTCTTCAGTTTTGTATTTGCCTGAATTTACCAGAGGGCCACTCTCTCTAGTGGCTTGGTGAGGACAGGAAACCAGTGGCTTGTCCTTAATTCCCTCATTTGTCCTGATTTTGTTGAGCCAGATTTTTAAATTTGGCAGCGTTTTGGCATATATGGATTCACTGGGTACTCTGCTTCATGGGGTTATGATTCTATGGGTGAAATAGCATCTGTTTTCCATCTTGCACTGTGGCTTATTGAATGTAAAACATTTGCTCCTTGATTGTGCTACATCTGACCTTTTGAAGTGGTGGTTTAGATCAATATCCTCCAAAAAAGTTCAGTATTTTAAATGTTTCAACTAGATCAACCTTGTCATGTCTGGTTTACAGTGTTGTTAGCCTTGTGGCCCTCAACAATTCCTGGTATGAGTCACTTCTTACATAATTCAGGAAGGATTTTAGTGATATGGCATTGAACTTTTTCTAGAGCAAAGTTTTAGCAAAGTTATCGTGCAATTGTTTATTCTTGATCATTTAGTACAGTAGTATTCTTGTCTTGAAAATATCTTTTTGTGTGGACTTGAAACCTGACACTTAAGTATGATACTAAGACTGACATTTCTTTCAGTGTTGGACAATGTAGCTTAATCATGACTAATTTGGGTTTTGTTTTTTAAGCCAGGGTGATACTGAGATTATGAGCCTGGCAAGAAAAGTGCTTTGCATTAATTCCACTGGAAACTTTTCAGTCAGTCCCTGCAGGGTCATTGAAGATGCAAGGCTTTCTTGGAGCCAGCAAAGTTCATCTTGGAATAATAAAAGTACAATATTTTCCATATAAATTAAAAGCTATGAAGTTCTCATTGGATAAAGAGAGGACACCAAACCATGTCTCCAACAAAGATATCACTTCCTGCCCCTATTAATCCTAACCATTAAAAGATGGCAGAACCTCTCATAACAGTTCTCAGTCTGAATACATCTCTCGTTCTTCCAAAGGAAATCCAGAAAGTTGTAAACAGGCAAAGAGAAAAAGAAAGAAAGAAAGAAAGGTATTAGAGAAGCTGATGGGCTCTCCAAAACCTTACACCATCACCAGAATGTAAGCAAATATTGTTGCCACAGACACGATGGTCTTCCAGAAACCTCATGCACAATCTTAGCACTGGACATCAGCAAGAAGGCTTTATAGATAGCAAAGTTGCAAATATCAGTCATTAACAGGTGACTATGAGGCTGAAGGAACCAGGTCTTAAATAAATGTGGATCTTACCAAATGCATTGTATGTAGTTTATTTAAACAAATAAATGGAATAGATTAAGTTTAACAAAAGCATCATCCTGACTAGAAACCTCAAACACCAATTTATTTATCAATGTATAGAGCTCATTATTCCTATAACCAGAAGCAAGAGTGAAGCGAAAAAGAATCGTGAAGATACAATTCTGGGAGAAGAGAGGCAGCTGAAAGTATGGAGATAAATTTACCTGAATTTTCCTAAGGGCCATTATCACTCTAGTGGCCTCGATAAAGACGGGAAGCTGGCAGCTTTTCAAATGTAACCCCCAATTTGTCTCAATTATTGTATCCAACTTGATCTTGAATTGTAGCAGTGGTTTGGCATTTATGACTTTGATGGATATGCGGTTTCATGGGTTTATAATCCAAAAGTTTTGAGTTTAGAATTTTTTTTTGAACAAAAGGACTGAAATGGAATGAGGCTCAATTGAGTTGTATAAAAGGACAATGAAAGAGATTTAAGCCAACCTTTGAGTCACCTCAGAGCTCCATTTGATTTTTTCATTGATATATATATCATGTTAGTGTGCTTTCTGTGCATCTGATGTGGGAGCGTATGATGGATGAACTATGTTGTCTACACCTGGATGCTTGGAGGTCTTATGTGAAACTTGGACTGGCTTCAGGAGGGGCCCTCCAGACTTCTTGTGATTTCAGTAGAAATCCCATTGTATGATTTTTCTCAAGTCAGGGTGGTCCAGTGGTTAGTATCAGTGGCTGGGATTCACTTGGTTGTGGGTTCGAATCACCTCAGAGCTCCAGTTGATTTTCTCACCATTTATTATTATTATTATTATTATTATTATTATTATTATTAATAATAATAATAATAATAATAATAATAATAATAATAATAATAATATTATTATTATTATCATTATCAAAATTTCACAAATACGCAAGTGTGGATTTTATCCTGTTATTATGTCTGAGATGACAGTACCTTTACTAATTCTCATTATCTTTATCATCAATATTAATAATAATGTGTATTTATTTATTCAAAAGAATGTGTGTACAAAAGAACATGATGGTAATGTGCAATTGTGGGAACAGGTGTTACACATACTAATGAAGCCACTATTATACAAAGTGTTTTGGGCAAAACTTAACATAATTTGGATAACAAAAGAATATAAAATAATATTATGCCCGAAACGCTTTGCGTAATAGTGGCTTTAGGCATTGTATGTACTAGCTATACCTATAAGTCAAACAATCCTTGTAAATATTGTATGTATGTATGTACCTTACCTAAATAAAATTGTATTGTATTGTATTGTATTGTAAAAGTGTGAGGGGGAAGAGGGGTAAATGTTTAATGCTAATCTGAGCTACCTATGTGCTTTAATATACAGTATCTACAAATTTTCTCTCATCTTTTATTTTTTGTTGCTATGTAACTTTTATCATTTTTATAAATTTTGCAAGTATTTACCTACTTAAAATTTTCTTAGCCCGAAACGCTGTGCGTACTAGTGGCTTTACAAGAATGTAATTACTATGCTATGTATCCTCACAATCCCAATGTACCTTCTTGTATATATATAAATAAAATAAAATAAAAAAATAAAATAACTAAAAGAGGAGTAAGCTAACAAAATTGACAGGTCAAGATAAAAGACAAATGAGTACAATAAAATGGTGATTACTTAATGATGACAGGCATGAACTATTGCATTATGGAGTCTGTAGTTCTAGTAACAGTATGGTAGTTTTTTAACATTAATAACAGAATTGAAATGCAAAAGTGTAATTTAGAAAAGCTACTGGAACATAACATTGTATAATACTGTACTATAATTACAATACAATTTTATTTAGGTAAGGTACATACATACAATAAATATTTACAAGGATTGTTTAACTTATAGGTATAGCTAGTACATACTTTAATTTAAGTGTAATGAGGTCAACACGAAAAAATAAACAAAGATCATAAACAACATAAATAAGCAACTTTATAAATGAGATGCAATAATTAAACGACAGTGAAGAAGGGACATGCGTGTCAAAATTGTCATAATTGATATGTTTATCTTGCACAGCAACCAGTGGGCAGTGGTGGAAAGGTTACCATCACCCATATTTACTACCTACAGCTAGCAAACTGGGGATATTAGGCAAAAATTTACAATACTGTAGTAGATTATTTTGAATGAAATATTTACACATTTCTTGAACATTTGTTATAGAGTTGTCTCGGAATTTTCAAATTTTTCCGCACTCCATCACATAACGACAGGGTTATCTTGAGGTTATCTTGAGATGATTACAGGGCTTAGCATTCCCGAGGACCGGTCCTGGACCTTTTTGTTACACACACCCCGGAAGCAGCCTGTAGCAGCTGTCTAATTCCCAGGTACCTATTTACTGCTAGGTAAACAGGGGCATGAGGGTGAAAGAAACTCTCCCCATTTGTTTTCACCTCCGCCGAGGATTGAACCTGGAACCTTATGACTACGAATTCTGAGTTCTGTCCACTCAGCCGTCAGGACCCTGCAAAGAATTTTGTTGACACAGTTTACATCTGGTTAGGTTTACAGGTAATGCAAATTTCCAGAAGTACTTATAGCCGAGTTTATGCCAAGCAGTAGTAACATCTAGGAGTTTGCTGAATAGACGAGTGAATTATGTAATAGTACAGTACAGGTATAGGGTTAACAAGGCAGAGTGAGATATGTAGTGTTGGAGAATGCTTACCATTTTAGAAACTTCATTTTGTTAGTCTTTGTATATGGCAACTGAAATTTTTGTCAATGTGAGCACACAGGAATTTCCCATCTATACTTTCAGTTTGGGAATTATTTTTTGGTTCCGTTTGATTGTTGGACCTGCTTGTAAGCAGTATGTAACATTTTTTCAGTGTTATGAACGAATTTATTAGTAGTTAGCCATAAATGGACTTTTCTTAATTTAAGCTTATCTTAAGCTTTGTTTAATTGCAGGTCATTTTGATGTCGGCTACCATTGATGCCTACAAATTCGCCAATTACTTTGCTTCTCCTGCAATGACATCTCCAATATCTGCACCTATTATTTCTGCTGGGAAAACGACTGTCCACAGCATCCTGATCTATTATTTGGATGATCTTAAAGTAATCTGCAATGAAAGACCGGTCAGTATTGTTGACAACTACAAATTGGTTGTATTAATTGAGCTTAATAAATATGAGCAGTATACTGTTACTGTATAGCAGTTTTACAAGTACATAATACAAATCATTATTTGCTGTACATAATATTTATCGTGTTAAATATTAACATTTTGTTGCAAATGAAAATATAAGTGTCTCTGATACAAGTGATTTTGGTTCATCTACTATTAGATCCTAACATTATTCAGTTGAGTATCCCTAGATACTAAACACCTGGTAAATAGTACTCGGCTATTTACTAACGTGATTTTAGCGAACTATTTATACTTGAATGATTCACCATATTTGCTGAAAATATAAATTTTTGTATAATCTCTAATAGATGACTATTTAATTTTGTCCAGAATGTTGTACCCAGGCTACCCAGCATATTTCCTGATGACCCGAATATATCGGAGGAAATGTATAAACTGGCCACCGAGATGATTAAGTGCTTTGATATTATCGAGAGGCAAGAGGAAGGTCTTGGTCCTTCAGAATTTGCAAAAAAGAGGTGATTCTTTGGCTTGTATAGTTGTTTGATTTGTGTAACAGAGGTGAGTAAACCATGGACCTTTTATATACAGTATATAATATTGTGTAATATATACTGTATACTGTGTAAATATAATATAATATTAGTATATTTTGGTAGCAGTCTTTCTTGTAGACATGTTGAATATGACCGAAAGGGTAAGATTAATGATTCTAACACGAATCGTCTCAATATTTCTTATGTTTTTCTTCACTGTTGAGGGAAGTTGAAAAATTAACTTTCCAAAGTTCATTTTCACACTTTATTATGAGCAAGACATGCTTGTGGGACATAATAATCCTCATTGCAACTACCAAATTAACATTACCTTACATCAGATTGATGAAGAAAGGGACCTGGGAGTTGTGCAACTTTCAGTGAATGATTGAGTCCAAGTGGAAGCTGCTGTTGGCTAAAGTTGGCAAAAGGCTACCCAAACTCTAGGACTAATAAAGCAAACATTTGACTTAAGGAAAAGGTAGTTCCCTTCATTCTCCAATGGAAGGATCTCACCAGTGACTCCTTAGTTCTGGTACCTAAAAATGACCTTGCAGGGAATGCAGATTCCTGTCCAATGAACTCGGTGGAACTTTAGGAATCTGCAGAATGCTCTGCTTTGAATAGTCTTTCTGGGAGGAGTCCTTTTGGCTACCCAGAGGTATCTGGGCTGATATGAATGTATTAGACCCCTGGCATCAGTCAAAGCGAACGGAGTTCTTAGGCTTACCTGGGACCACGAGCCAGAACCTGGTTCCCCTCAGAGAGGCAATGGCCTATAGAAACCCCCATGTGGTTGGAAGCATTCTATGCCTGCCATCAACTGTGCGACACAGTGGTTGCAAGGATCAGGTTGGGTTACCGTTACCTGTGGCAGGTGGCTGCAGGTGACGGGTCTCCCAATCCTGAGCACTCCAGTTGCAAACTCTGTGAGCAGGAACTACGGCACGATCTCCCGCACTACATCACTGAATGCCCAGTTATTAGACCTTTCAGACCAGTTAGCATGAGGTACCTGGAGCTTTGCAATTACTTTATTCACTCTCGTATTCTTGAAGATATCCTCACAGTATACCCAAAATTTGCCAGTGCAGGCTATTAAACACATGGCTCTGTATGACTAACCATCCTGCGAGATGGGGACTTGTATTACCACTGCTACCTTATTCAATCTTGTGTTGTTGATATCCTCAAAATGCATCCGGAGTCTGCCAGTGCAGACCGCTTATCACATGCCTCTGTATGACTAACCATCCTGTGTGATGGGGATTTCTTAGCATCACCTAGTTAGCTTTTTTGACACACTGTACTCCACTTCATATAGTCTAGGGTAGCTGCACTAATGCAGATGTACCTCATATCTTAATAAAAAAAAAAAAATCAACCGGGTCAGGCATCCAAAAAGGTAAGCGCCCCAAAACAAACCTGTATTCTGGTTAAGAAATTGCTACTGAAAGCCACACTAGTGGACAGGACTCCCCAAATGAAAACGAGCACGACATCATCACTCCGCTGTCTGCACAGCCCCAGTGGGAGCCCCAGACCTCCGTGCCAGCTATCCACGCCTCAGTTCTGTGGTTGATGTGAGGCTGGAAAGGTTATGTGACTGGCTCCCAAATTCCAGTCCTATGCCTTATGGTGTGGTGCTGGCCTTGATGGTTATCTTGAGATGATTTCGGGGCTTTTTAGTGTCCCCGCGGCCCAGTCCTCGACCAGGCCTCCACCCCCAGGAAGCAGCTCGTGACAGCTGACTAACTTCCAGGTACCTATTTACTGCTAGGTAACAGGGGCATTCAGGGTGAAAGAAACTTTGCCCATTTGTTTCTGCCTCGTGCGGGAATCGAACCCGCGCCACAGAATTACGAGTCCTGCGCGCTATCCACCAGGCTACGAGGCTCCTGCCTATGAGCACCATAGCCTGCACCAGGCTATGGTGCTCAAGCCAGGAGTATATTCACAAGTACTCGAGCTGCATGCGCCTAGGGTCACCTTCCTTAGGTGCCCAGTAAGTACTTTGGGCCATCTTCCACAAGTCACCTTGGGGGCTACCTCCGCTAGGTCTTTTGCTGCTCGGTAATTGGCTGCCCTTGGAGTCGGCTGGGGTGCTTCATTCATCCCTGTTGCCTCTGGGTAGGGGGTAGTATTCGTCATTGGTTGAGGCGCTAGGTGTCACCTCTCATATCGGCCGGCTCTGTTTTGCCTCGGTACGTTGTCCTCTTGCAGGATTTTTCTTTTATTTTTGTTTCCTTGCTGGTGAGGGGGGAGGGGGTTCTGTCCCATGGTTTTGGTCTCACCCGATTGTATCTTGGTGGTCCCCTGCTAGGCCCCCCCGTGAGTGTACACGTCCCGGGGGGCGAGGGCCAGCTTTAGCAGTTTTGTTAGTAATGTTGGGTGCTGGTTAGCAGTACCCTGCCTAGGCTTCCCTTAGCATGAGTTCCGTCTGAGGGCCCTGGGAAACCCAGCCAGGGCTTGCGCTTGCCTCAAATTTGCCTTGGGCGAGTTTGAGGGTTGCTCAGTCCCCTTGTCTCCAAGTGATCTTCACCGTTTCTGCCTCCGTCATGCTGCCTGTTGGGTCGGTGACACCTACGACCCAGAGTCCTGCGAGTTTTGTTGCTTGTTTGTGACTCGGTTCACCCGGTTCACTGATGACACTGTTGGGGTGCAGGTGGTGTAGGTGTTGCATGCTCAATTTAGGTTGCTGCAGCGCACTAGGTTGGTTGCTGACCCAGAAGCCCCAAGGCTTCCTTGTGTTGGTTATGGGGACCCGGATTGGGGGGAGGGGGTGTTAGTCGCCTTGACTTTGGCTCAGTCTGCGCCCCCTAGTCTTCCTTTCCCCTTGCTTCCTGCTCCGAAGCGTCTGAGGGTTTCGGAGTCGGGTCAGGGTGTAATTGGTTTGGACCCTCTGTGGTCTCGGGTAATGCCCCTTCCGGGGTGGCGATGGAGGCATTCGAGCCGGTTCCTCCTACCGAAACAGGTGGTGTCTGGGGCGCGGGGGTCTGGGGCTCTCCTTTACCCCTCCCGGGAAGGGGGGGAGCTGCGCAGACAGCGACGTGGTGAGGTTCTGGCTTATGGTCCCTTGTAGGCCTATAACTCCATTCCCTTTGACCGATGCCAGGGTCCAATACATTCATATCAGCCCGGATAGCTCTGGGGAGCCTCCGGGTCTCACCCTGAAAATGGCGTCTCATTACATTGAACACTAGTTTTTTCCTGTTGTACTTGAAGTTTGTTATTTTCCACAGAGGGGCAGTTTTGGCTTTCGTACCTGGGCTGGCAGAGATTGAAAACTACATAGACTTCTTAAATAGAGAGTCTTCAAGATTTCAGTGAGTTTTTCTTGGTAATTTGCATCAATATTTTCCTGGTTATTTAGATTAAATGTGGTAATTTATTTTCAGTTAGATAGTCTAGGATCTTTATGAGTTTATGCATATCTTTTGTTACAGTATAATAAAGCTGTTTAGTATAATTTACAACAAAGTGTGTGTACTAACTTTGTAATATGCTTGGGTATACCTGGTCTAGAGGAGGGCAGGGGGCTCAATAAGCCTAATAAGCTTCCTGTCCATAACAGTGGGTACCATAATAAAGCAATCTTTAAGCTATGAATAATAATGTCCCTTGGAAGCAAAGCCTGCTGGTTTGTCTTGAATATTTTTCCATGACTTATAAATCCTTCAGATGGCAGCTGTTTCCTCTTCATTCTACCATTACACGAGAAGAGCAGCAGTTGGTGTTCGCTGTCCCACCATTGGGCTTTCGAAAAGTTATTATATCGACAAATATTGCTGAAAGCTCCATAACTGTTCCTGATATAAAGTATGGTTAGTAAGTGTGTTCATGCATTAAGTTTGTTCACTAAAAGACTGAAATTTGGTACAGTTGTGTACCTCTTTTTAGTTCATTGTATTTAGCAATCATGTTCACCTACACAATGTTCATGTTCACACAAAAAAGATGACACCCCTAGTGTCAGCACCTGCATCAGAGGAGCTCCAGGGTATTTCACATCCTGGAGCTCTCGTCCTGTAACTGCAATTAGGTAATAACGTTTTTTTTACTTCTATCGAGATCCCTCCCTCCCCAAGGCTGAATTATTGACCCCCCCCAGGATGCATCCCCACAACAAGCTGACTAACTCCAGAGTACCCACCCACTGCTAGGTGAACAGAGGTATTAAGTGAAAGGAAATGTGGCCAACTATTTCTGTCCCGCCCAAGATTCAAACCCGGAATTCTCTATTGTGCATAGAGAACGAACCCGATTGTACTACTTGGACCCTTCGACCCTAAATATGACAGTTGTGCTATACTTAGTTGTGCCATTAGAAGACTAGACTGTTTTCTAAAAAAAAGTGCCGGACCAACCGGGCTGTGGTTGGTATGTGGGCCTGCGGGCCCCTCCAAGCAACAGCCTGGTGGACCAAACTCTCACCAGTCAAGCTTGGCCTTGAGCTGGGCTTGGGGAGTAGAACAACTCCCAGAACCATCAAGCAGGTAAGCTATCGTCACAAGGAGTTGAGCAGGGAAGGCCAACAAGAGACTGGGTTCAAAATCTTGGGTTTATTTGTACCGACATCTTTATCTGCCAAGACAGCATTCCCTCTCCTAACCATCAAATGTAATGTCATATCTGGCCAACCAAAGGATACTATCACAGCCATCAACATTGCTGGAACTCTGCCAAACCTGAAATAGCAGTCGCATGAACAATCCAGCTTGCAACAACATTAATAATAAGATAAAGCAACTTGTGGAAATAGTTTAAAATTCAGACTAAATCATGGAAAATTTCAGTATATGAATATATGAACAAAACTAGAAAATTCTGCAGCAAGTTAATTATTATTATTGCCTAGTGGGAGTGTTTGCAGACCTCCCTTCTGCACTGTGAAGTGAAGGTTGTCCTAGCCTGGCTGTTGTTTGGCAAGAAGTGACAGTGTCAAAAAAAATGAAAATGTGAATTTGAATCAACATAATTGCTCAAATATTTGCCAAAAATTGCATTTATTGAAATTGTAAATGAAGTTTTCTGTGGAGAGTCCCCCTTCAGCTTCCCTGGAGCTATCGGGCTAATATGCGAATCATTAGACCAGGGCATTAGTCTATGGAGTTCAGCCTACCGGGGACCACGCGTCAGAACCTGGCCTCCTCAGAGAGGCGCAGGGAGCAATGGTCCTGGAAAACTGCCCCTGTGGTTGGAGGTTTTCCTTATCAGCCATCGACTGGGATTAGGCACCCAGAAATGCATAACAAAACAGACCCCACATGGTAAGAAAATTGCAACTGAAAACCGAACATTGAGGCAGAACTCCCTCCAATCCCAAGGAAACAAGCAAACGTCACACTCCATCGCCGTGTCACTCATCCAAGCAGCAGCCCCCCCTAATCCCCCCCACAGGGAGGGGGAGCCCCAAACCCCCCCCCCCCCCCCCCCCCCCCCGCCACCTGTGCCGGCGAACCAGCCACTCCAGTTCGTCAGCTAATGAGAACCGGGGCGGATATCTTCTCTAGCCTCGCTTTCCAAGCAGTGTTTGCCTTCGGGGGTGTCCTCTGTGGTGTCTCGTGTGGTGGTCAGGTATCCTTGAGTAACAGAGCTGCATGTGCTCAGAGGGCTCTCCTTCCCTAAGTGCCCTGTGAGTACCCTTGCATGTTAGGGATCTCTTCCCTGGTGCATTTGGGAACCAATTCCATAGGGGTTTTTACTGCTCAGCACTTACCCCACCCTTGGAGCCAGCTGGGATTTTGTGGCCCATGTTTGGCCTTGGGCGCCTGACAGCTGAGTGGACAGCGTTTTCGATTCGTAGTCCTGAGGTTCCGGGTTCGATCCCCGGTGGAGGCAGAGACAAATGGGCAAAAAGTTCTTTCCCCCTGATGCTCTTGTTACCTAGCAGTAAATAGGTACCTGGGAGTTGCAGCTGCAACGGGCTGCTTCCTGGTGGGGTGTGTAACAAAAAAGGAGTCCTGGTCGAGGACCAGACCGCGGGGACACTAAGCCCCGAAATCATCTCAAGATAACCTCAAGATTGGGTAGGATTTTTATCATGCTGGTTGGGTCATCAAGGTGTTGTGCAGCCTGCCTTCCTATGCTGTGGCCGGTTCCTGTTTCCTCTGGGAACATTGTACCCTTGCAGGGTTTTTCTTTCGTTTTCCTTGCCTGATGGGGGTCTGCCTGGTGTGGCTATAATTCCACTTATAATATATTGGTTGCCCTTCATTAGGCCTCAGTAATTGTACCTGTACATGTCATAGGGGTTTCAGTGTTTTGATCCCCCCCCCGGACCTCCCCATGTTAGCTTTGGGTCTTAACTGATTAGCAACGCCTTGCCCCGGCTTCCCGTAGCAGTCATCCTATGGACCCTGGAAAACCCTGTCGGGGCTCGGTGGACCTATGGATGCGTCTTCAGAGTTCCAGCCCTACCTTGTGCGGGTTTAAAAGTTGCTGTGTGCCCTTGTCTCTGGGTGACAGTCATCGCTTTTGCCTCCTGTTGCTGCCTGCTGCCTGTTGGGTCAAAGACACCTTTAACCAGGAGTCTTGCAAGTCGTGTTCTCTACTTGTTCTCCAGTTCTATTCTGGTGGCATTACTGTTAGGGTACAGGTAGTATCCACTTGCATGATAGGTTTAGGTTGCTGCAATGCGCTAGGTTGGTTTACCACCCGGATGCACCGCAGCTGTTTATTTTGCTGATACCAAGTCTATGTAGTCAGACTTTTATTTACCCTTGAGAGTTTTATTTAGTTCATTTTTAATTTGGTTTAAGTATACTGTACTATATTGATTTCCAAAACAAAACAAACACTTTTTACAATTATATAATTGACAAAGAATATTTCTTTCAGTGATTGACTTTTGCCTCACCAAAGTACTGATCTGTGATGTAGTTACTAACTATGCTTCACTGAAGCGAACTTGGGCATCACAAGCTTCTTGTACACAGAGAGCAGGAAGATGTGGACGTGTCTCCTCAGGCAGAGTTTATCGTCTAGTACCACAAGCATTTTTCAAGGTTAGTATAATATAGTGAGACTGAACCTAAAGATAGTGTGTGGTTAAACCACACGTCTGATCTGGAACCCAATTAACACTTTCGCGCTTTCCGCAAAGGTCACTCAGCCAACCGAATGTGCGCGCAGCGTTTTTATCGCTTAAGCGTAAAAACAAAAATGTGTATACTCTTTTTACTCTTCTGACCTTAGTTCTCATGCTACGTATTTCATTTTGGTACCAACGTGTTCGCAATAAAATTCTCTAGAAGAACATCAGTAAAAAAAGTCACGAAACGTATAGGGATACCAGCACCAAATAAATAACTACGAAGATGACTCGCCGTGAGCGCCCATCAGCAACAAAATGTTTTTACTCTTGGGATTGTAATCACCTCCACACTTATTCTACAGCGTTAATTTTGGTATCAATGGACTCGCAATGAAATTCCCAACACGGTGATATGAATATAAGTGTAGAATAATGATGCGGCCCGCCCGCAAGAGTGTGGGAAGTGGTGAAATTGTTACCCGGTATCGGTGACGGGACGACGCACGGCGCTTTGAAAGTTTATACTTATTTCACTCTCACATTAATTTTCTATGTACGTCATTCATTTTTGTGTCAATGTGTTCGCAATAGAATGTTCTATGTGCCCATAGGTAAAAAATATCAACAAAGCGTAAGTTAGAATAGCGCCAAATATAAAACAACGCTGGAACATATCAGTGAGCGTCAAACACACACGAAATGTTTTTACTTTTGTTATGTTTGTCAAGTTTATACTTGTTGCACACAGTTATTTTTGGTTGTATATTGATCGGAATAAAATTCCCTAAACAGACATATGCATATAATACATGATATGGGGGAAGCATTACCAGTATAAACGGCTAAAGTCACCCACCTGCAACCCGTTTGGGACAAAATACCATTTGATCGAAGTTATCCACACCTTTCATGAACTTATTGTACCATGCAGCCTAGTGGTGAGAAAGAGAGCCTCATAGCGCGCAGTTTGAAACAAACCCAAAGTAAATCGGATAAAAATTGAATTTTATACAAATATTTTAAAAGAGGACTCAACTTTATGTCCACTATGCGTTAGCGTTAGACGAAACGGGACGCGCCGGCGCGTCCAGATAGCGCGAAAGTGTTAACATTATCGCACTCTGTTGCCTCCCTCTGTAGTCACTCGTTTTCCTCTTTAAGTCGTCTCGGGTGACTCGGTCTCATGTCACTCGTTAAAATTGTTAAAAATTTAAATTTTATCCGATCAATCTGGGAGTGGTTTCAAAATGAGTGTCTTTAGATTGCGCACAATTTGATACCAAAATGAAAGACATAACACGAAAATTGATGTCAGAACACTGAAAAGATATAAATAATTTTGTGGTGATGAATGTCCAAAAGCATCCAAAAGTTGAAATATTTGTTAAAATTTCATTTATTGTTCTATTATTATGGGACTTGTTTTAAAATGCGCGCCTTTGTTTTGCGAACAATTTGATACCAAAATGAAACACAACACAAATTTGTTATCAAACGGAACGAGTACTGTACAGTATATACATTAGCCTGCAAGTGCGCCAATTGGTGCTTGTTCACGGGTAACTTGGCCGATCTTTGGCTTTGCTGTGGGGAGTCACGCCGGAGTTTTAGACCTTGTATACATAACCCCTGTAGAGAATTCTATTGCGAACACAATACTAAAACGAACGACGTAGCACGAGAATTAAGGTCGGAAACTGAAACGAGTTCAGGTATGCAATTATTTATGCATACCATTATGCATGCATATTTATGCATATCATTATGCAATTATTGTCCAGCCTGCAATTATTTCTCTTTCCTCTTAGAAATCCTCACCAGAACAAGGTCAAACACTACATGAATCCAACCACCTTTCAAACATATATTGTTGCCCTCACAGCCCTCTGTATCTCATCTGGAAGATCAGCTACTCTTACTACACATGAAGTCTTTTCTATGGTGATTGATCTTCCTGGGACAATCCATCAGCGAGTCCTCGAATTAAGTAGATCCTCTTGCAGCTTCTCCTATCACTGCTACATCACTTAATGATGAATCGGGTGCACCATGTACCACTGCTACATCCTCTCTGGATGCACCACATCACTCATACATGAACCTGTAATTCCATTACCACAAAATAATAAACTATATCATCCCATCAAAACACAAATAACATTCATTAAGTAAAATCCTCCTTACAATTGTACATTCCATGCCCTGGCCTTTACTGTTGGGGAACTTCCCTACCTGGACGAATCCACACTGAAAATCTTCTTCTGCCGGGGGGCCCTTCCCCTAAGTTAGCCTCTGACCCCGGCTGAGCGAGCATTCGTTGCTTCACGCCTTCATAATATCAATTCACCTTAAACTCATTATATCACTTCATTATCTCCACAAACTTTATAATCTACATTCATAAACACTATACAAGATCGCTGGGCACATGATCTCACTGCAACAATCAACATACAGCAGTTTACTAGGCTCTTGCTGCAAAATATGGAGATAGCATCACTCGCCGCACAACATCCAAATATGGCGCTCTGCTAAGTCACCCCATACAACTTTTTTTTTTTTTTTTTTTTTTTTTATTTTTTTTTTTTTTTTTTTTGACTGCCACTGATCGGCTCCTCTCAATCTTGACTTGTGTGAAAAAGGTCACAGGACAGGTACCAATTGTCACGTGGGGGTGGGCGGTCCGGGGCTCTGCTAACACTCGGCTGCTAGGGGCTCAAAAGGCCCAAATACTCAGCCCCTCCGACTCCCTGGATTCACCGGAGTCTCCTTGGTCACACAAGATAGGACCAACAATGCCCACCTCCGCAGGTCTTTGCTTCCACCACAAAGGGGTGCCACTGATTCACCCTGGAAGCCCTTCAGTCAACCACGGGGAAACTGCTGTTAACAGTTCCGGCCTAGACCCGTGGGGGAGTGAAGGAAGACTCAGGCTTACCTATAACCATAACCTCCCTGAGTCTTGCCTGCCAGACAAAAAAAGGTTGCAGGAACTCCTTTCCCGCCTGTCTTCTCTATCTTCCTCTTAGCAAGGTCGCCAGCTGGGTTATTATATCTGCACCCCAGCAATGCAGTTCAGTGGGTGTATCATATATCGTTTGTAGCCAGAAATGTATGCTCATAGAGAAATATCACAAATGGAGGCACACTCAAACACAGTAATAAAATGTGTGGATTTACTGACGCAAATTACATGAACACACACACACAATCACAAGTAATACATGAATATGGAATATGGATAATGAGTCTGGAGATCGTCAGCCTCTTCTTCCACGACCTCCAACACTCCTTCAAATGGGCAGGAAGACAGGAGTCTCACACTCTCACAGGAGGGCCTCTTCACCACGTCGGCACCTCTTCTTCACTGTCCTGCCATCCATACACACTGTCCTCTCTGACAGTCCTGGACACAAGCTGCTTTGCAGCCTATTCTACTATTAAAGTAATAAAGTCTTGCTGCCACATACACAAGTAAATATTGTGGCCTAACTAGCCTACTCATACAAGGGGTAATGGGAGGGAAAAATGATCTACCTTACACTCCTGGCTCACGACGCCTGTCCCTCGATGGTGTGAGGTTCCCACGCTTCCTTGGGTCGATCCTCGACGATCCTGGACGTTCCACAGGCCCTCAGGTGTCGTGAAGCCTTCGCGTCGTCGCCGTTCCAATCCCTGAGATTCAGCTGCCCCAATCCTGGTTCATCGATGGGCGCTGAGCTAATCACTATTTTTCCCCACACTCGCCTCTCCCACAGGGCGTCGCTCCTTGTCCTAGGCACGGTGTCGTCCTTCCAAGATTCTCAGTGGATGTGACCCCAGTCACAGCTAGCTTGCTCGCCCACCTTCCAGACCTCAACGTCCAGCCAGCGGCGCCGCCCAGCGTCGTCGCCGACTATTTTCCAAGTTTGGGCACTTCTCTGCTCACTGAACTTGGTTCCTCTTTGGCTTCCCAGAAGCGCAGGGTCTCCAATAACTATGGTGGCTGCGACAGCCAGCTCTATCCACTGAACAAGGCTTGCAGAGCCTCCAATCCCTGAGAGCAGACCGAGGCGCGTCCTGTCGCTTCCACGGTCAGTACAACTCTGACGTTGGCGCCGCCCGGGGCACTCGGTGACGTCATGGCGGGCCCTGATTTGTCGCCCGCGACCTACGTCGGCCAATCCGCGATCGGCTTGTCTCCCTTCCAAAAGGTCATATCCGCCGTAGGGGATACTGTTTCATTTTATAACAGGGCGCCAATTTTCCTTTATTTACAACTTATAATATAACCTCCTTCCATAAAATGGCAGCCGGTCTGGTCGCCACATATATCATTAGACTCCCTGAACCTCAGAGAATCAGTAGGGAGAGCTGATATGACTCTTTAAGCCGGCAAACGAAAGAAATAGGAGAGGGCACCGTAACATACCCCTCCCCTTAAAATAAGAGTCATATCGGAAGAGCAGCACTCAAGAGGGCAACCTATACTCTTGCTCCCTCCGTTCCTGAAGTGTCACTCCTCCAGTTGGCGATGTGGCTTGTTCCACCTCGCCAGTCACTTGCCTCATTGTATCTCCACCTCGCATAGTAGCGGGTGTGATGGGTGTTCCCTGAACACCTACAAGAAATCCCCTCTCCGTGGCTACGAGTGTACTCCCACGGCTCGTTACCACTGTAAGATTTAGTGCATGCAGCGCCTCCACCGCGTCGTGCACTCCGAGATAGTCTTGCATTTCCACTGCGTCCTACAGGTACTCCATGTTTCCTCTCATGATCTCCTCTTCGCCAACCTTCTCTCTTCTCGGTTCCTCTTCTCCCGTAGGTGCGTTGTCTCCTCACAGTGGCACTTGTAACCTGTACTCCATCCAGCAGCTTCCTCTCTTCCACACTAGGCTTTTGCGATGGCCCAATGCCCCTCTGGTTAGGCTGGCGCCTACCCTGGGTGTACCTATTCCCTGCTTTCTTCGTATTGCCTTTCCTATACCACTC